TATTTTTCTAATTGTCAATGTCTAAGCATTGTTTTAGTGCATCTAAACAACAACCGTAACTCGCTCTGTTGCGACTACGATCGGGATATGATCGGGCATGGTAGGCCTATACTGTAAAATGTGATATGGAAGAAATGGTGAAATACAGTAATAACTTCAGTTTTATGATAAAATTGGTTATAAGATTGTAAAAGTAAGGTTTACATTTGGAATTTCAATCCTATTAGTCTTCTAGCATTCGTGTTAATTTAATATTGTGGTTATTTTACCGCCTATTAATATAAGTTGTTTGTGTTTTCATGGTTCTCCTTCGTAAATGTTATTCATGTCATTCAACACAGCCTTTCTTTAGAAATTCATGCGCAAGAACTGTCACGTCTTTCTTGTGTGAAAATAAAAATTAAAACAGGGTATACAAATTATTTGTAGATATAATTGGTGCAATTTTATTTTCAAGCTATAATTCACTGTGAATATTTTCAAAGAAATCGATGCATTGTTATTGCTATTTTCTTTTGCGGATGCATGGACTGACACATTCGGTCACGTAAAAGTTTGGTCGCCCACTACATGGCATTCGAGCTCAAGAGCTCGATGCCATAAAAATGAAAAATATACTCGGATGTCCGATGGTTGAGTACATGTATTTGCGAATCTTGTCTTTTTGTAAATATTTGATTTCAATAAATATACGCTGGCCTGAGATATTTCATAAGTTCAAATGAATAATCTTTGTGAATTAATGCAGCCTACATGTTGCTTCATTTGTATGATATTCGGTTTAAAAATCGGTTTCTTTTGTTATTTCTTATTAACGAGGTTCGCTCCTGAGCTTTTGAGCAGATTCTTATCTTAACCTATATTTCAAAAATTCTGCATAATGTTTTAATTCTTACAATAAATTTGGATTCTACAATGCCAATTTAACTATATTCAGTTAAAACTCCATGATTAAATTCCATACCAAAAGCATTAAGTGAGGAACTATATTTTGTGGCGGAAGGTTTTTTAGAAGAAAATGATCATTTTTTCTCTTTCGAAGAATTAAAAGTATGTTAAGTTTGGATTCCTATTTTTACATGTAGTCTGCACACATAGTTCTTTTGTGAAGTGAACTGTTTTATACTGGTCCTAAATTATCTATTAAAAAAACTGTCATGAATTCTATCATCATATTTGATAAATATAGCAAATATATTGTGGAAATGAAGAAAAAAATAGCCCTAATTTAAGCTTAAAATTAGCACTATTTTAGTAATATCTAAAAATTAACATCACAGACCCCCACTTTTAATTTTCTTTTCTGAATATATACGATACTTTTACCGTAAATTTTGGGGTATATGTCGATGGGGTGTATAGGTCGAAAGGCTCCTTTTCAGCCGTAATTTTTAAAAAATCCTTAGATAGGACGAATTCGGAAGATAGGACGAGGCTTTGTTTATCGATTTCTAGAGATTCTTACGTAGATACTACGTATCAGAACATGTAAACCTCTTTAACTTAACTCGTGATATTAACGTATTGAGAAAATAAACTAGTATTTTTATGAGTACAGTATTTTAATAATGTTTTATACAAACGTAGTTTAAACTTCCTTGAACTGTGACATAACGTATTTTCTCCAACTTGCCTGTTCAACGCCGTCGTAGTTTGACTCTGTCGTTAAACACATAAATACGGTAGTATAAAACAGCTATAATTAGGGAAATACCCGAAATCAAACAATAATCATTCCATTTTAGAACATCGTGGAATCATTCTTTTATTCCGACATTATTTACCGGGGTAAAAAATCAACTTCGATGACCGCCATTTTTATATATTTTCTTGTCCAGGGATTTGCTAAAACACGCAAATGACTATTACATGTAACAATGTGCAAATGAAATTAATCATATTAACATGCTATAATTTGGCCTGTGATATTGTTGTAAAAAATAAATTTAATTGAGAGTACATTCCCAATTTAACAGTCATCAAGAATTTCACAGTTTTGTTTGTTCGATGATGTATAGCACTAATACCCCTGTAACGGCATGTGGATCTGTCAATCATGCCCCGCAGGTGTTCTAACCAACACAGGTGTTAACACCTTTGTGTACACAGTGTATATCCCTTTATCTGTCAGACAATTAAAATTCTATAAGAAGCCAATCTTTGTATAATTCAGTGTACCCCTTGGGTACGAGGAAGCTTTTAATACTATCATTAAAAAAATATTTATTTTGTAAAACAAAAACAAAAAAACTGTGAATAAAAAATAACGTATCGTGAATAAATGAATTTATATCTTCCAAAAATGTATAATAGTATATTCAAGATAAGTTCGTTTTATTATAATTAATCAAGATATAAAACAAAATAGTTATTACTAGCGGTATATTTGGTAAATAAATTTAGGAATTTACTGGCAACAATTTACTTCACGCATTTTACATTTAAATAAATATCACAAGACAATGAACAAATATTTAGGCATACTATTTCAATTAATCGTTACAAATAAATGGTAAAAAAAAAAGATTACAATTGCGATTGTGAAAACTCTTCCGTATTTTAAATTTTGATACGGCTGCGGTTTTCTTTTTAGTAAACGATTGCGACTTCCAACTTCACAAGATGGACACAGCATGTTGTAAATATACTTTGAGACATTAATTACTAGATGATATACCGGTAATAAGTTTTTTTTTGTACATCGACGGATATTTAATGGAACTTATTTTGTAAGAAATCAATGGAATAAATATTTAATTCTTTATTGTTTATTATTTTAAAATAATTTTAAAAAATACGAAAATGGCACAGATTTGCTTTAAAATTGACGTAAATTTTACTGATTTGGAGGCATTTTTCGTAAACTTGAGCCTTAGATAGGTCGATTTGTTAAATAGGACGACCCCAGCGGTTCTGAGAAAAAAGTATCGTCTTATCTTCCAAAACTTACGGTAATCATTCTTCTTAAATTCAGTAAAATGTCATTACTTTCAAATGATTATTTTTGCTTGTTAAATTTTAATACCAGAAAAATGAAAATGTTTGAGTGCAAAAAGGTCAAATAATTGAACATGCGGAGTAATTCAAAAATTTCTTCGTTGTTACAAATTTTAATGTGTCTATTTAAGATGAAATAAGACTGTGTTTGTTCACCATAATTTATTTGAACAAAAAATATTGAAGGAAAAACTTTAAAAATTGATTTATGTGTAAGACGTATTTACAGTGCAAAAAGGTCAAACTAAATGCTCTGTAGCGCCAAAAGAAGCGCATTGACCCCCATTTTTTGTTTTGATTTTTAATAAAGCTATGTGTATAAATTCTAAAAATATACTTGATAACAAATTCTCATTACTTTTGATGGCAGGATCCAACCTCCTTAATAAAGGTATTATTCAATTTTTCAGAATGTATTTTCAAAACTGCTGTCAGAAAAAAAAGAAAATAATTTACCTACCTACCTACCCAACTTGAGATTTTAGGGTCGGGTTAGGGGAAACAAAGATATTTTTAATGATGGCCCAATTCAGTCTGTTTCAATTCAGATCAGGGTAGCCCAATTCAATTTGAGATAGATTCAAACCATTGGACAGGTGTTAGTTTTGCTCACTGGTAAAACTTTGATTGCCCATTGTGGGCCCACACTACCCCTGGGGTCATGATTTGAGCAAATTTGAATCTATATTACCTGTTGATGCTTCCATATAAATATGACTAATCATGGCTCTGCTGCTTTTGAGAGGAAGATTCTTAAAGATTTTCCTATGTAGTCCTATGTAAAACTCTGATTGCCCATTGTGGCCTCACCCTAACCTGGGGGTCATGATTTAAACAGACTTGAATCTACACTACCTAAGGATGCTTTCATATAAATTTGACCGATCCTGGCTTTGCTGTTCTTGAGAAGAAGATTTTTCCTATGTTTTCCAATGTGGTTCTGCAGCAGAAGATGAAATTGTAAAAAGCTTACGACAATGACAGACAACGGACAAATTTTGATCAGAAAAGCTAGTTTAAGCCTTCGGCTCAGGTGATCTAAAAACTCAAATTTTAAATGCTTTTTTATATTTTGTTTTTATATACCATATATATATATATTTATCCCATGTTTACCCCTTTATCCCGTGGATATGACTCATTGGATAAATTTTTCATAATCCACAGTTGTGATGTCATAATGGTTTTTGCGTTAGCGCGATGAAGTAAAATAAAGTGGAGTCCTATATAAAACAGTGTAAAACATTGGTTGTGAAGTATTAAACATGGGATAAAAAGAATCTCCCATGATTTGTAGTTGGATATGACTTTTATCCAACTCGTTGTGTGTTTTTATCCCCTAGCCAAGGCAAAAAACACACCACTCGTTGGATAAAAATCATATCCAACTACAAATCATGGGAGATCCTATATATATATATATATATATACATATATATATATATATATATATATATATATATATATATATATATTTGTTTTTTTTGCAAACTTGACCAAAAACAGAAAGTTCTGTACGTCAGTGTTGAAGGTATGGGCTGAGGTGTTGATAGAGTGAACTGCCATTGAACTGAACCATCTAAAATTCTAAATTTAAATTATTTTGACAATTTAACCATTATCCTCTGATTAACTTGACAGAAATTAACAGCTGACTTCAGTGTTTGTTTGACTTCAGAATCATGTCAGACCCGAAAGATGTACAACAAGTATCATCATAGTCAGCATCTCTCAGCAAGAAAAACCCCTAAATACCAGACAGAAATGCTACCCTTGGAGGTTTGTTTTACCTGGTAGGAAATGTGTTTTGCAGTTTCTAAATAACAATTCACCAGTACATTTTGAAGCTAGAAGTGACTAAAATACCAGAAAAAGCAAAATTCTGACAATTTCAGCTGAAGACCTGGAAAATATAGGTATTTTTTTTCCAAGTACCTAAGATTGTGACATCTTTCACACATATCTAATAATCTGCTGCTTAAAACTCTGTCTATCACTCTTACCTGGACATTTAACATCCATGAAGTAGCTGTTTGGACTCTGTACCAATCTCTTTAATTTGCATGTTCTCTTTTCCTCCTCCAAAGAGGGATGCAGTAAATCTTTAGCGAGCTAAAACAAAAAAAATTAAACAGGTATGAATCAAGGTCAAATCTATATTCTTCCTTTAAACATATCCTTGAAATGAAATAACAGATTGAATATGTTGGTTGTTTTCCAAATAAGGGTGCAACGATTAACCGTTTGACAGTACATCGCTGTATATTTTTCCACGGTTCAATTCCTGGATACGCTAAACTGATATCGCGGTTCGGTTCAATCGGCCCAGAATTATCCGTTTTGACCATTTTATTTCCTTCTTTACTATTTCAAAATGGCTTCTGCGCAAAACGTGAGGTCGCCGATAACGCATTTACGGCAGTTAAACTTATCTCCAGCATCTTAGAGACCTCAGATTTAACATGGAGAAGGACTTGATGTGATTATAAGTTAAAGATGTTAAGACAAATGATAAACCCTTTAGATCTAAACGTATTCTTTGGTAATACACAATATTCCATCACGTGTGTATTTTGATGAATATTCCATCACGTGTGTATTTTGATGAAAATTCGCTGTCTTGTTGACTAAAACGTATTAACATGAGAAATATAACAATTGGGTTTTTTACGTTAATTAAAGGAATAAAAGAATGAATGTCTTCCTTTTTCATTCCATTTTAAAATGGAGATTATTAGGAAAGGTCCCCGTAGTTCCCTGTAAATGTTCATCATTGGTTTAGAATGTTGTCACAACTCAAAAGATCTACATAACAATCCAATTCAAGTTAACAAAATGTTATTTTAATTATTATTATTAAAAAATACAAACATTTTGTATAACCCTGTCAAGTTTTAAAAAAAATATGATGACAAACTTGAAAGACTTTTTAACCTTGTCATGTATCGTGATACGTATCGTATCGTGAACTGAATACTAGACCTGTTTACCCATATTGTTTTCTCTCACTTTTTTTTATTAGATTTGTCAGTGAGATTTGGCATTTGCCCGTAAGCTTTCACTTTCCCTCGATTTTACATATATTATTAGAAAACAACTACATGTGCATTTCTGATTACCAAAACATGGTTTAATAACAAAGAAAAACATCATAATTTGCTTTCTTTCGAGGGGTTTCTGTCATTGGGTTTTAGCAACCTGACATCACTTTAGTGTTTGAAATCTCTCATTTTTAGCGATTAAAAGGTGTCAAACTGAGACAGATTAAAATTAACTGCTAAAATCCAAACAAACGAATTTCCAATTTCCGTATTTTCATAATAGCAAAACGTGAGACGTATTTTGGACTCCAAATCTGTACAAAATACGGCGAAATCGTAAGAGTAAACAGGTCTGGAATACCATGATACGTATCGTATTGTGAGGTTAGTGTATCGTTGCACCCCTATTTCCCCATATACGCTCAATTTACTCCACACACTGAAATTAACATTTTTTAAATGTTATTTATTTTTCATATTTTCCACTTTTGAAAAGGTAGCAGCATTTCTAAATGTATGTTTGTCTGATTTGGAAACCATTTGCTAACTTAGTAATTAAATGATAATACACCATAATTAAACAATGTGCATTGAAAAGACATTTTTAACTACAAGCCATCAAAAATGAGCCACAATAGGCGAGAACAGCTGTGGACATGGTAATTACCGTCTATACACAGCCACAGAAAATAATGGGTATTTAGTGGTGTCGTGACGCTAATTATTGTACAGGTATGAACAATACATATATATGTTACATTTTTAGACAAGTTTTTTGATAATATATGTACAGTATTGTGCCATTAGTGATCGTCCAAAGTCGCGTGCATTGCGTATTTTTTATGTTTTAGCACAACTTTATCTGCATACTATAAATAAACAAAGGTACTGTTGTCGGTGAAAATGATGCTATTTTAAGAATGTCCTCATGACTATCACGTGACAAATTTACATGTCACAAATTCTCGTCTGCTGCGTATATTGTCAATGTAAACAATATGGCTTCTGCTCGAAAAGAGTAAAGTAAAGATGTCAAAAAAGTGGTTGTTTCTTTGTATCAAACGGGACTGAAACAGCAAGAAATATCTCATAGATTGGGAATACCCCGAACAACAATAACATTGGTGATAGATCGTTTTCAGAAGCGAGGTTATTAGGGGTGAAACGATACATCTCCTTCATGGTTCGATACGTATTGTGTAATTTTGTCTCCGTTCGCTTATTTTCGATACAATACATTTTGATAGAAGGAAACAAATTCAACGTTGTTTTATGCTTTCTTTTTCTAAATCTGGTCACATATTTTACAAATTTTATTTGCAAATTGACTAGAAGAAATTGATTAAAATTATTTGACTGTCAAAAATTATTTTACAAGCTATCAGTCATAAAAAAATTACGTTTTCAATACTTATTTATAATGAGTAACGTGTTTTACCTTATGCCAAACCCGACTGAATAACGATCCCGAACGAAAAATGAACCGAACCGAAAATTAGAGATTTTGCACCGTGCATCAAACCGAGAAAAAATACCGCGGTGAATCGATACCACGGTGAACCGTTTCACTCCTAGAGGTTATATAGAAAATATACCAAGAAAAGGGAGACAAGCAAAACTGGATGACAGAGATGCACGACAACTTTTGCGGTCAGTAAAAGAAAACAGAAAACGAAGTTTGTCCGATATCACTGCCGTATTTAACCAACATAGAGCTTCTACTGTTTCAAAACGAACTGTGCAGAGAACTTTATATAAGCAGGGATATTTTAGGAGAATAGTAAGAAAACGAAATCAAAATTCGTGAAGTCAATTGTAAAGCTCGGCTTTCTTGGTGCAGAGGCAACCGTTACAAAACTGTCGACAATTACTGGCAGAGAGTAATATTCAGTGATGAATGTAAAGTAGACATTAGATCTGACAGTCGCGTATTTATCTGGAGAAAGGTCGGCGAGGACTGGCTACCCTGTTGTTTATCGCAGCCTCCAACGCTTAAGTTCAGTTTGATGGTATGGGGATGTGTAACCTTTAATGGTGTAGGCACACTAACTGTCATAGATGGCAATATAAATGCCCAAAAATATATTGATATCATTGATGAACACTTGTGGCCGGTTATTGTGCGTCATTTTCCTCAGAATAATTACATCTTCCAAGACGACAATGCACCCATACATAGAGCCCGTTTAGTGCAAGAATTCTAGGTACAAAATAATATTCACTCTATGTTCTGGCCAGCTCAGAGTCCCGTTTTAAACATTATAGAGAACGTATGGCTCAGAATCAAAAGAGAACTGAAAAATGGCGACAGAATTATCACCTCCAAAAATGAACTGGAGACAGCCATTAGACGAGTGTGGACACATATCCTGGTTGACTACATTCAGAGTCTTTACAAGTCGATCCCCCGAAGAATACAAAGAGTATTACGATCAAAAGGCTACATACAGGGACCAACCTAGACCCAAAATTTAGGGAGACTTCACTTCTCCCTCAGAGAAATGTAGGGAGAAGTTTTGAATTCTAGGGAGACTTCTTGGCGCACATTGATCATTATTAAACTTTTTGAAAATAAAAACATTTTAAGGTTTATTACTTAAATACATTTCAATAATTTTTTTCTGTATTATTTAAACATCCTAGTAAAAATAATATTAAAAAAAAAAGAAAAAAGATTCTTTAAAAAAAATATATATATATATATATTTTTCCAATTACAAGGTATATAAACATCTAGCAAAATATGTAAAACAATGACAATGTAAGAGTTTCTAATATGATAAATTTGTTTATCAAACTTTTTTTTTCATTTCTTACATAGTATGCACAATTAACTTTTAAATGATTCACACGTTTTTCTCTCCTCTCAGGGTTAGGTTTTCAGACTCTTGGCATAGTCATAATTTTGTTATTTTCTCTTCAAAATTCATCAATACATGTATTAAATTCTTTTTCTAAATAAAGTTTTGATGCACTACTGCATGCCAATTGAACTACTTATGTTTATCAGACATGTGTAATTTCTTAAACAGTTAATAACTCCACAATTTAACAGTAAAAATATACATGTCTGTATTCACAGCATGTATTAATTATTTGACAATTAAAAGATCTAACATTATCTCCAACATCTTTGGCATGACATCGATAGCTGTCCAGCTGTTTTGCGTCTTGTTGTGTATAACTTGTAACAATGGACTTTTTCATACATGGAAGAGTAAAATCTAGAGGAGTTCCGACAGAGTATTCGATGCATTGGTCATTAGTAGCAAAACAGGTGCAAGTGCCCTGCTGTTTCACTTATTTCAGCAGTAATAAAACCATATTTATAAAATAGTGATGATACCACCACGTTTCTTAATAGATTTTTTATGATCTTCAATAAAAGGATAGCAAATGTTAAGGCGACTTAAACTTCTCTTTCGTGATAAATTACGGCGAAGTTTGGAGCTCAAAAGCGACTATTTCGCCTCAGTCACCCCCTAGGTTGGTCCCTGTACATAACAAAATACTAAGGTAAGAAAATGAATTATTTATTTTTTTATTCCAAGTTTTCCTTACCAGTCAAGATGCGCAATAGCGGAGGCCATTTTGAATTTGGACGATCACTAATGGCACAATACTGTACTTTGAAATATGAAAAAATATACATATCCAAGTAACCGTGTAGCGATTTTAGAATTCGACACTCTTAAGTTTCTGTATCCCGTCTAAAGTAATGTATTCATAATTTAGGTAAAATTTTTATGAATAAATGAGCAGTTTACAATAAAGAGGCTCGACCAGAGACATCTGAAATGATTTATTTGACAAGAGAAAAAGTCTCTCGGAGTGAACGATGTCATTTTAATGAAGGTTGATATATTAACAAAATACGAGCTTGAAGCGGGCCAGGGGTGCCCAAAAATGAGCTAGGTACCTTGTGGAAAGAAAAAAGAAGGGGGTGACCCCATATTCGAAACAAGTGCCTGTGTTTTCTTCTGCTTTTATACCAAATGTCGACACTAAAGTCATGATTCTGTAGGTGTCATTACAGTATTTCAGTTGAGGTTCACATCAAAACATGGCTGACACAAAATAATTCCTGAATCTCCCCTTTCGATTCCCAAATTTTGGCACGAGACTGGAGATGAATTTTTTTGGGTGTCGGGTGGTTACATTCCGATTCCGTGTTCGACCCGCGTGGTTACGACCCAAGTGGTTTCGACCTACTCTAATATATATCCCAACATGTCAATACCTGAATACAGGGATATACACTGTGCGGTAAACAAATGGATATTCGGTAGCTGTATATTGTATGGCTTCAGAGATGTGCGTGTCAATAGGTAGTTGTTTCCGTATATGTAGTCAACATGCAGTGAGGTTTCCTAACATTTTTTTCTACTATCGCGGAGCATGGATGTTGATAAATTTGATTTTGTAATGAATTATATTTGAACAGTTTTCCATAAAAAATAATCAAATACTTCTTCAAATGTACCGTGAACACATATGCACTGTCTAAACAATGTACGTTTCTCCAAATTAAATTACATACGATAATTAACACAAATATACGTGGTCGATATAAAAAAAAATGTAGACGAAAATATAAAATGTTAAACTGTTGAAAGTGTTAATTAATTTCGTTCCGAAGCAATTAATTGCTTTGGAACGAAACCACTCGGGTCGAACATGGATTCGTGTCGAAACCACGCGGGTCGAACAAGTAATCGGAACGTAACCACCCGCATTCATTTTTTTGTGAGATGAAAAACTATTTTTGTAAACTTCCTGTATTGACCAGATTCATTATAATTGAAGGCGTGATTTTTCCATATACTGTATTTGAGTGGGGAGTGATTATGTCCTGAACTTGATTTTCAAGCACCTGCTCGACTTCAACCGAAACAAACTTGCGTGCTTTGCTGGATGACTATGTATTTTTTGGTACTAAAATCTTTATAAAGAAGTGTTTTACAAGATCTGAAAAGGAAACCTCTCAAAGTTCGTTTAAAATTAAGACCACCTACTTAAAGTTTCGCATTTTTGCTAAAAATATATAGCAAAATTTAATACTGTTGTGCAATCTGTAGAACATTACACGTGGTTAACAGCCGCCATATTTGTTTACTGTAGCCCACGTGGTATATGCTTTTTGCGCAGTTGACAACAGATTTTTTTAGAATTCACCTCAATTTTTCATAAAAATACATAATTAATATTACAAATATGAAACATTTAAACTGACAAAAGAGTAATAACATTCAAAACCTAAATGTAGGCCACCCCCCTCTCCCCTTAAAACGAAAAAAATATACCGCTTCGATCAACACTGAACTACAGAACATCACACACTGCAAAAGTTGACATCATAGATTGATTTCGTTCAAACAGTTGACATGTAATAGCCAAATATTTGTAGATATTTAACATAAAAACGGCACCACTTACAGGCATATTTGCTTCTTTTGGCCGTCTCTAGAAAAAGGCCGGAACAGGGTTTACACATGTTTTATAAGGGAGACTTTCACAACTTCCGGTAATATCTATTTGCTGGTTCCCATTTTAGAAAAGGCTAAAGGTCTGGGTTTACATAGGCGCGGATCTTTTGAAGTTTTTAAATTTTTAACTCCAACCTATTTGTATGGCACTGCTTTTAATTTTCTTATACAATTCATTTATTTTTTTTTTTAAATGGAGGGGGGGGGGAGGTCCTTTTGTTTAAAGAAATTCATCACATAGCCTATATATACTCTACTGGTTGAATACATGCCGTGAGCAAACATAATTATAATCATGTTTATTTCCCTGATATAACCTTATGATAAAAAAAAAGAAAAGAAGAAAAAAAAAACGAGAGCAAACAAGAGACCCATGGGTCACAACACTCACTGAGTCGCAGTGATTCTTCTGTTTGTTCCCATATATTATTCAGTGTGTAAAACATTGATCATATATTGTGGCCCGCACCGTAACCCCCCCCCCCCCAACTCGAAGTACATCATGAATTGAATAAACTTGAACAGTTGAACTATGCTTCCTGAGGACGTTTCCATATAAATATGATAAATCATGGTTTGTTGTTCTTGAGAAGAAATTTTTTAAAGATTTTTGATTGCCCACTGTGGCTCTGCTCTACCCCTGCCGAGGCTCATGATTTGAATAAACTTGAATCTACACTTCCTGAGGATGCTTTCATATAAATATGACTAACCATGATGACTTTGTTGTTCTTGGGAAGAAGATTTTTCCTATATTATTACATAGATCTACGTAAAACTTCAAGTTGATGGCCCACTGTGGCCCTACCATACTCCGAAAGGTCATGGTTTGAACAAACTTGACTCTAGCTACAAGATATCGTAGGTAAAGAAGATTTCACATGTTTCATCTTTTCTCGCCTCGTGGTACTTGGGAAGAAGATTTCTAAAGGATGCCATTAAATTTTCAATTATTCTTAATTATCTCCCCTTTAAAGAGAGCGTGGTCATTCATTTGAACAAACATGAATCCCCTTTTCCCGATTCAGGATGCTTTGTGTCAAGTTTGGCTTAAAATAGCACAGTGGTTCTGGAGCAGAAGCTGAAGTTGTGAAAAGTTTTCGACAGACGACAGACAAATTTCAATTAGACAAAGTTCTTACAACTTACACGACATGGCACGGCATTAAGTGTAACCAACGAGGGAGAAAAACGTCCGTAGTACAAGGGGGTGGGGGGGGGGGGGCTCGGGGTACAGCCCCTCCAATTTTTTTCTGAGAATAGTTTTTGATGTAGTTTTTACTATGAAATTTTCACTTGGAAGCTGCTTGCCTCCCCACTCCCCACGTTTTTAGCTCTACTGGTCAGAGACCAGAAGAGCTTATGCGATAGTAAGGTGTCCGTCGTCCGTCCGTCTGTCTGTCTGTCTGTCTGTCTGTCAACAATTTTTCAAAATGCTACTCCTCCTACAGTTTTGGTCTGATTTCAGTATAACTTGGCACACAAGTAGACTACACTAAGATACATAATTCTGTGTTTTTGATTTCAATGAACGGTGTTGCCATGGTTATTAAAAATAGAAATTTCTGTGAAAAACATTCAAAATGCTACTCCTCCTACAGTTTTGATCTGATTTCAATATAACTTGGCACACAAGTAGACTACACTAAGATACATAATTCTGTGTATCGGTTTTTGATTTCGATGAACAGTGTTGCCATGGTTACTAAAAATAGAAATTTCTGTGAAAAACATTCAAAATGCTACTCCTCCTACAGTTTTGATCTGATTTCAATATAACTTGGCACACAAGTAGACTACACTAAGATACATAATTCTGTGTATCGGTTTTTGATTTCGATGAACAGTGTTGCCATGGTTACTAAAAATAGAAATTTCTGTGAAATACTTTCAAAATGCTACTCCTCCTACAGTTTTTATCTGATTTCAATATAACTTGGCACACAAGTAGACTATACTAAGATGCGTAATTCTGTTTATCGGTTTTTGATTTCAATGAACGGTGTTGCCATGGTTACTAAAAATAGAAATTTCTGTGAAATACTTTCAAAATGCTACTTCTCTTACAGTTTTGGTCTGATTTCAATATAACTTGGCAAACAAGTAGACTACACTAAGATACATAATTCTTTATATTGATTTTCTGATTTCGATGAACATTGTTGCCATGGTAACTAAAAATAGAAATTTCCTTGAAATACCTTCAAAATGCTACCCCTACAGTTTTGGTCTGATTTTAGTATTACTTAGCTCACAAGTAAACTACACTAAGATACATTATTCTCTGTACCAGTTTCGGATTTCGATGAACAGTGTTGCCATGGTTACTAAAAATAGAAATTTCCTTGAAATACCTTCAAAATGCTACTCCTCCTACAGTTTTGGTCTGATTTTAGTATAACTTAGCACACAATTAGACTACACTAACTTAAAGATACATAATTCTCTCTACCAGTTTTGGATTTCAATGAACGGTGTTGCCATGGTTACTAAAAATAGAAATTTTCTTGAAATACTTTCAAAACGCTACTCCTCCTACACTTTTTGTCTGATTTCAGTATAATGTGGCATACAAGTAGACTACAGAGATACATAATTGGTGTTATTGTTTTTTGATTTTGTTGAATGATGTTGCCATGGTTACTTAAATCAAAATTTCTGTAAAATTGTTTTAAAAGGCTACTCCTCCTAAAGTTTTAGTCTGATATAATAATAAATCTTGCCACAAAAGAGACTAAACCAAGGATCATTATTCTGTTTATTGCTGTTGCAAAGTTTCAAGTCCAAGTGCTACTTTTATCTTCCTTTATAAATACAACCAGTAGAGCTACAGTCTCGTCAGAGACTTCTGGTTGTTGCTGTACGCGGGAGAATACTGGCAAAGTTCAGCAATTAAAAAAAAGTACCGAAAAGTTACAGAGAAGACCCCCCCCCCCCCCGTATAGGATTTTCGAGCTTGGGCAGTTCATGTGTGTGTGTGTGTGTGTGAGGGAGGGTGTGTGTGTGTGTGTGAGGGTGTGTGAGGGTGTGTGTGTGTGTGTTTTTTTAATTAAATTTTTGGGGGTCACATAAAGCACATTTTACAACAACTCTTAAACTAACATAACTGCCCTTAGTAAAAAAAAATATATCAATATATATAGAAAGCACAAAAAAATCACTTTCTATTAGGATACCCACTTCCGCCCCAACACGGGATTGATCACTCGACCTTCGGAATCTGTCCCCTAGCAGTACAGGAACAGCGTGCTAGACCGCTCGGCCATCTAGGCAAGTCAAAAAACTTGCTTTCGATGCCGATGGAATTCTCGCGGCGCTGTCCTACACTACACGATCATTGAGAATGGATGTGAGATACAGTTATATAGCTATACAAGTTTTACTGTGTAGCCTAATTCATTAAATTTGATTGGTTTGCTTGCTATCACGTGTTAAAATATATTTTACGATATTGACTTGAATTACTAGAATACCTTAAAGAAAATCCAAAGATGTGTTTATAATAGAGGCAGAGACCATGGCCAAGAAGAGAGCTGACTGGCGAAGTCTTGTGTTGACCTAATGCTCCAATGGGAGCGAAGAGGATGGGTAGGTACGTAGGTCTATAATGGTGAAAAGTCTTTAAAACATATATACATAATGAAGATGTTTAATTTGTCTCTTTCTTTTCCAAAGAAAATAATATAATAAACAGATTCGTGCTTCGTAAACACATGTACATATATTTCTCGTTTGATCTGATGATCCGCGCCTGTCAACTCGATGTGATACGGCACTTCGGATAAAGTTACTGTTATAATGATAAATTTATTATATACCCCTCTATAATTAGCAAAATATATAATACTGGAAAAACTGTTTGAATCAATTACACTTTTTCGTCCATTAAATAAAACAATTTTTTTTCAAGGAACTTTTGACACGCAAGAAAAAAAATCCGACATGTTTACTGTGTACTACGCAGGCACTTAGTATCGGGGGGGGGGGGGGGGGCAGGCCCTCTACCCCTCACTTTTTTCCAGACATGTTTTTCTATAGGAAATGTTCATTAAAAATCCGGTTGGCCCCCACTTTTGGTTGCAGTATCGTCAAATAAGGGTAATATAAGGTAACTGAGTAAAAAAAAAAAAATGGTAATAAAAGAAGTGGGAACCCCCCCCCCCCCCCGAAATAGGATTTTCGAGATTGCACAATTTTCCTTTTTTTTTTTTTTTTTTTTTTTTTTGCTTGTCAAGTTTTTCAGGTAAATCAGGTAAGTTGAAAATTTTTTCCTCGGGTTGCCCCCCCCCCCCACTTTCAAAAACGATGCTACATCACTGCTACGTCATAAGTTTTCAGAGAGTGGTGATATGGATTAAGAAAAGCACAGTGTGGTGATCCGGAAAGTAGGATCACACCGTCACGTGATTTCATGAATTCAACAGTAAAATTGACTGAGACACAGTTGGGTATATAATAATTTAAAATGCTCACAAAATTGTCTCTGAATTCTCAAAGTAATGTGTATTTACCAAAGGTATATTCTTCAAACTCCATCATTAAAGTTAATCATATTATATAGGGAAAATTAGTAAATCTCAAAAAAAAAAAAAAAAAAAAAAAAAAAAAAAAATTCAGGAAATGAAACAAATAGACCTACTGTGCATTTTCTAATTGAAAATTGACCAACAAATATATTTTAGGATTAAAAAAAAACTTAGGTATCCTGGCATTTGAAGAAAATTGCATGATTTTGACAGTTATACGGTACTTTAGTTTCTTCTAGTTACTTCAATTATTTTAATATAATGCATAGTGTATAAAGCATTTCCTATCATTGCAAAACACCATAAATCAATTCTAATTTAATATCATGCTAATATTAAACATTGGTATCTAAAGCTAGATATAAGGAAATTGGATTTCTTTTTTTTTTTATCAAATATGTAATTTTTAAAAATACTTTTATGCGGTATAAAAATTAGTTTTTATAAGACCGTTTCTAAGATTTCAAAGAACCTTGAATCACATCGAGATGCAAGAAATGAAAATTGTGGCATGAAAAGGGGGGGGGGGGGCAAGGACCATGAAATTAAAAAAAAAAAAACCTTCCTCTTCACCTCTAGATGCTATACAAAAATGGTTGAAATTGGTACGGGTGTTCCATAGAAATTGAAAATCTTCAAATGATGAAGAACACCAACAAAAGGCCAAAGGGCCTTAACAGTCACCTGAGTATAATGTAATGATCCATAGATTAAACAAAATAAGCTGATAAATGAAGCTATTTTCCCAAAAGCAATTCACAATTTTGGAAGAGGCACTTTTGCTCATCATTAACCATGCACTTAGTATGTTTCCTTAATAATAATGGGCAGAAATTTTCGAAGAAATAATGCATTTCTACTATATATTCCAAAAGAGCCTCACCCTAGGCCTAACATCAAAACCCCTGACCCCGGGGTTATAAATTTCAAACTTTTTGAAAAGACATCTTTGCTCATAACCATGCAATTAATTTTTCTGTTAAATACCCAGGAGTAGAGATTTTCAAAAAAAAAAAGTAAAATAAAATAATGCATTTCTACTATATATTCAATATACCCCCACACACTCATCCCTGATCCTGGGGTCACAAATTTTGGAAGAGGCATCCTTAATCATCATAACCATGCAGTTAGTTTATCTGCTAAATGCCCAGGAGCAGAAAAGATTTTAATGCAATTTCATTATATTCAATTCAATTCAGTTTATTGACATCAGTATATATAATCAATAGAGCCCCACCCTAACCAAGATATTCACAATTTTGGAAGAGGCACCCTTCCTAATCATAACTATATACTTAGTTTATCTGTAAAATACCTAGTAGGAGCAGAGATTTTCAAAGAAACAATGCACTTTCACTATACAATCAATAAGCCCCCCTTTCTGCTGAACCCCTCACCCTGGGGCCGCAAATTTCTCAATTTTGGAAGAGGCATTCTTGATCATTATAACCATGCAACTAGTTTATGGACCATGAAATTCACAATTTTTGTTCCCCTTTACTCATACGTGTTGTATGCAAAAATTGGTTGCAATTGGTTCAGCGGTTGCAGGGAAGCTGAGAATGTTCAAATGTTAATGCACGACAACAGACAAAAACAGATAGCAATAGATCACCTGAGTGACTCAGATGACCTAAAAATTTTGTGTCTAGAGCTAAAGGGTTATAAACAAACAGAACGATGGATATACAAACCGATGGACAGTCCTAGATTAACATCCTCAACTTTAGCGAAAGTGGAGGACAAAATGTTGGTCAGAACAGTTGGCAATACTAAAATATCTTAAAAATTGTTTTAGCTTAAAACAGCCTCACAGTACTGGAAAAATTGGCTTTGCCATTTATTTCTGAATGATCACCTGCTCCCAAGCTGGTTAATTGACTGATTAATAATTTTAATTCACAAAATCAATGATATTAACAAAGATTCTGTAATATTTCCATTTATTTCTTTAATAAGTGCAAATTGTCAAAGAACCACAACGAGTTATGTACACATGAGAACTTCTCAGACACACATACAGATCTACGATGCAGGCATCATAAAACATCACAATTAGTTTATCTTGTAATCTGCACCAAGGACAATAGTAAAAACTATAACATGTATAATGAGGAATGTTACAAAATGAAAAACTGAGATTAATTTTCTCCAGACACATAATGACAAATCTTCATTACTACTGTTATACATGAGTAAAGCTTGAAATGTGTAAACAATCATCTATGTACTCAATTCCAAAAAGGTAGGTTTAATACTGATAATTTAAACAGTCTGATTATTTCATAGAAATTGTGTTTACCGACTTCTAGTTTGGGGGGGGGGGGGGGATTCCACAATATGCCAAAAATACTGATGCTTGATAGCAATAAAACACGTATGTATAGCAATTTACAAAAAGCTGTAGTTTAAAATAAATAGCACCTTATACGAAAAATGCATCAAAAACAGTATTAAGCAAAATCAAAACCTCATTTTAGAGATTATGAGTCAGTAAATGATATGTACATCGATCTACACAAAAATGTGGAACAGGTAAATAAACACATTAAATATTAAATACAAAAAAGTTGAATCAACAAACAATTTCCTGTTTAAATTTCCCTAATGAATGTACATCATTATCAGCATCCTGACTTCTGTGAGGAGAACCTAAAAAAAAAAATGCCCCCAGTCCCCTTTCCAAAATTAAGGGACACACAAATGCTCATCTGTTTACACATGCATTATACCATGTAGATGCAATAAAAAAAACCCAGTTATACATAAAACACAATTGCTTCTGTAATCTACATTTGATTGAAGAAAAAAATCTATCAGAGCATGAAATATCACAACTGACTCTGCATTGTTTAAGTATTGTTAACACAAAAAGCTGCCACTTTTAAAGTCCTAACAGTATTGCACTCACAGGGAATTTGTTCAAGACTTCTGCTATCCTCAATCTCAGTACTGAACCAAAAGCCCTGGTAACAATCATTATAAAATGAAATTCACTACTGAGATAACAGTTGTCAAATAATTTACAAAAAAGCTCTTTCAAAGTACAGTCATGTGCTAATAATGTTTTTTAGTCTTATTATGGTTTAAACTTATTTTGATACTGTTTAAAATCATAAAACATCAAAAACTAAGAATAATATAATGTTAAAAATATGAAAATCTATCTCAGATATTGTGTTAACTTAGCAGTATTGAAGTAGACCTGACTGATTAGAGGAGTAAGAGGAATTCTTCACTTGTCTTTATACAACCTATGGGTAACAATCTGTCTTAAATTTTGAAGAGATGATAGAATATAGGTATAATAAGTCAATAATACATCAGCAGTAGTAATCCCATGTAGGTAAGGAGTTAACGGTGATAGTTTACACAGTAGTGATCATACAGCCTGTCTTCTTCTTTCCCTCTTCCTTACATGTTTTCCCCCTCTGTATTGTTTACACAGTAGTGACCATACAGCCTGTCTTCTTCTTTCCTTCCTCCCTACAGGTTTCCCCCTCTGTATTGTTTACACAGTAGTGACCATACAGCCTGTCTTCTTTCCTTCCTCCCTACAGGTTTCCCCCTCTGTATTGTTTACACAGTAGTGACCATACAGCCTGTCTTCTTCTTTCCCTCTTCCCTACATGTTTTCCCCCTCTGTATTGTTTACACAGTAGTGACCATACAGCCTGTCTTCTTTCCCTCTTCCCTACATGTTTCCCCCTCTGTATTGTTTACACAGTAGTGACCATACAGCCTGTCTTCTTCTTTCCCTCTTCCCTACATGTTTCCCCCTCTGTATTGTTAATACTGTTCATCCTCCTCCTGGCCAGCAGCATCTCGGTCTTGGTCATGTGTGTGTTTGTGCCAGGTGGTGGCCCTGATGTCGTGGCAGCTGAGTTTGGTGGTCTGCTGAAGCTTTGATCTAATGTCTCTGATACCACGGAGTCATTCACATGTTTTTCACTTTCTTTTGGAGTGTAATTAAATGGCTGTACCAGAGCAGCTTGTGGTGGACTAGCCTTATGATTTACAAAGCTAAACACATCCTGGGATTTTGATGTGTCACAGTCCTTTGATATAAAACTCTCATCAGCCACTGAACTTTTCCTGGAATCACTCTTTTTATTGTTTTTCATCTTTTCTGCCTTTGCCTTTTCTTTTTCCATCTTTGCCTTTTCTTTTTCCATCTTGGCCTTTTCCTTTTCATTCTTTGCCTTCTCTTTTTCAAGTTTAGCAGCTTCCTTTGCTTTGGCTTTTTCCAAAGCAATTTTCTCTTTCTGTTTGGCCTTTTCTTTTTTCTCTCTTTCTTTGTCTTTTTCTCGTTCTTTTTCTACAGCTTTTACAATTTCATTCATGTTTATCTTATTACTATGTAAGCTTTCCTTGGAGGAACTCAATGATAGTTTTGATCCAGATTTTGATGATTTATCTTTTTTTGATGAGCTGAACACATTTTTCATGGCTTTGATTGGCAGAAAACTCTTGCCATCTGCTTTCTCTTTCTTATCTATTTTTGCATTGAGTGAGTGCTTATTGAGCTCTGGTTCAGACTTTGATGACTCTGGATCTCGTCTGACCCAGATGCTGTCGCCCTCATCTTCACTGTGATCTACACTGGCAAAGGACTCCTGCTTATAGCGGCGCCAGGCTGTTCCATTTACTGTGCGACTTCCTTGGCTGAGGTAGCTTCCCTGTATGTTGGACGTGTTATAGAATGAAGATGAGAGAGTCATGTTGGAGGATTCACTTGCCAAAGAGGCATCTAACAAGGCCTTGACAGCTTCTAAAGATTTACTGGTTTCATCTGCATTTGGTAGGTTCACTAAAGCTAAGTCAGATTTTTTCTTCTTCCAGGTGCTGGAATCAATTCTTTTCTCTAAAGATTTCAAATCAAACTCCTCTGATGACTGGCTCTTCACAGAAGCCGCTGATGGACTTGTTACAGAATCTGAGTCACTTTTACTTTTGTTGGGACTTTTTATCACAATACTTTTGTTCATGTCAAAGTCTGACTCAGAACCCTGAATGATTCTCAATTCTACATAATCACCTTTGATTTCATCACCAAGGACAACACTTGACTTAGTTAGTTCTATTGTCACATTCTCTGCATCATCTTCTTTATCTAGAGATGGCAACTGGCTGGAATCCATAGTTGAGTTGATTTTGTCATAAGTAGAACTCCTGCTTATTCCTTCATTAAGAGTTTCAGCAGAATTCATAGATTTGTTTAACGACTGCAGAGAAGCATTGGAAGACTTCTTTATCCCAGATGTTGATACGTTTCTCTGCCTAGAGGGAGTGGTTGACACTGGCAGTTTTGATGTAGATGTGTGAGGTGATGAGGTGTCAGTGGAATCATCCTTTTTCCACAGTCCAGCAATCTTACTCCCTACCTGTTTTTTAGGTGGACCTGTTTTCTTCTCTGATGGAGTCACACCTTTGCTTGTGTTACTCTCTGACTTTCTACCCTGTACAGAGCCAGCTGAAGTTCTTCTTCCCACAGGTGTAGAGGGTCGTGAATTATTGCGAAGACTGGCATTACTATCTGATTTTTTCAAGTCAGGTTTACTGCTGTTTAAACGTCCCAAATTCGGATTAGATCCACCCCTGTTTAATCCACGATCACTTCCTGTAAGCTTATGCAAGGCACTTCCTGACTTGTTCAGTAGTTGACCACTTCCAGACTTGTTGAGAGTGCTGCCACTGCCTGACTTGTTCAATGAAGCACCACTTCCATATTTGGTCAGTGAAGTTCCACTGTATGCCTTCTTGAGATTGCTTGTACTGTTCACCCTATTAGCTGTCTTCACTGTGCCTTTGTTTGCAGGAGAGCCACCTGTTTTTGACTTAGATGCAGATAGATTACTCCCACTACCAGATTTCTTAGAATTTAAGTTTGTGACACCTGATACCTTTTTGTTGGGTGTCAGATTTTCTTTCTTTTCATCAGCAGCATTGTCAATGACAAAATTATAGGAACCTAATGCTTTTTTCCATGATTCAGTACCTTCAATGCTATTCATTCCAGGGGTGTTGCCTTGCTTGTTTGTTTCATTTTTAACTGCTTCAATACTTGCATCATAACAGTTTTCATTCACTGAATCATCTATGACTGGTACTTTCACTGCTGAAGCTTCCTTTGTAAATGTGCCCTGTTTGATGGGAGGTTTGGGTCTCTCTGCTGAACTTTTTCTGTTTGAAGCAAGAGGGAGTCGAGATGGACTCTCTTTGGTATTATTGGCTCTAACTGTTGTCTTGCCCTGTGGTGGAGAGGACTTTTGTATTTTTGGTTTAGGTGGGGAATTTTTGGTTGGGGTGCTGCTTGCCTGGGGATGAGTCCTAGTTTGTGGGGTCCTTCTAATGGCTCCAGCAGTGACAGAACCACCTCTACCTCCAGGTGATATTCTTGTACTAGCTGTAGTTGGTTTAACCACCCTGTTTGCTGTATCAGACTTCTGGGAAGTTGTAGAATTTGAGCGACTATACAAGGGCTTCCTCTTTCCTCTAATGGCCTTACTGTTGTCTGGAATTGTTGTGCCTCTGTTGTCTGGCTTAACTACTCTAGGTCCACTGGATGCTACAGAGTTTTCCTCTAGGGTAGATTCAGAGTAATTTTCAGAGTGAGCCGACCAAGTAATTGATGCATCAGAGGGAGTGTCTGACATGTAACCTCCAGACACCAGTGAAAGTGTCTCATGTTCAATAAACAAGTCTTCATCCACTCCACTACCAAGCATTCTTTTATTCTGTATCTCTGTCACAACAGCACTAGCATCTAGATGTAATGCTCGTTCATCTTCTGGAGATAAGGTGTTTTTATCATAATGGATTATAGAGTCATTCTGATTGATGGAGTCATTTGTCATGGTGTTATTTCCACTTGCTGCTTTTAGTGTGACATCAGCACTGTCAAGTCTGTCTTCTTCACATACTTCCTCCTGACTGCCTCCAATACCAAATCCAAAGTTATCTATCCCTATACCATAGGTCAATGCTTCATTGTTGTGTTCCATTTGGTAAATTGATCTGTTCAAGCTGTCAATTTCCTCCTGGGGTGCAGGTACATGTACATTTACCACTGAGAATTTTTCAGTTCTGTTTTGTTCACTATGGTGTCTTCTTTTGACTTGTAAATCATAGATGGCTTGATTATGCTGTTGTCTACCTGATTTTTCTCGACTTTCACTATGACTTCGCTTATGGGTTTCTGTATTTGTGTAATGCCTTGACTGTCCCTGATCAGCTCTTTCAACATTTTGGTTTGTAAAACTCTGCACCCCTTGCTGGTTTTCTAAATGATACTTGTGTTGAGTGTAAGTATGATGCTCTTCAATGAATCTGTTGTCAACACATACATCAACATAGCTTGGGATAGATTGAGCTGACACTCTATGGTGAATTCTTGGGCCTCCATTACTATAAGCCAGCTCCATGTTGGTATTTTCTTTTTGCTGCTTCAAGAATCCATCACTGTCCTGTGATCTGGATCTTCTCCATGATCCCTGATGAGGACGAACTCTTCTGTAGTTTGGAGATGGTTTAGCAAAGTTGAAATCATCCGACATATTGAGGGTCTGTTGCACCTGCCAGTCTGCTGCCCGGGAGTGGTGCGACATAACACTTCCAATACTCAGGTTCAAATGGCCTTCCACAGCTGACGTACTTTTGTTCATTCTCTGTTTATGATTTTCACTTGTCTTCTTTGATGTTGTTGATTTTTTTGGTCTTTCTGAAGAAAATGAGGAATTAAAGCTTTTAGAACCAGTAAGCACTTGGTTTGATTTCAGTGGTTTGGATGAAGATTTCGATTTTTCTGCAAATGTTGAAGATTTACTCTTTGGTAATGCTAAATTCATGCAAGCTGCTAGCAGCGCCTCATCATCAGCGTCATCATCATCATCATCTGAGTTTGACTTATTATCATTGGATAATGATTTTTCGTCAGATTTTTGAGCAGAGGCTGTAGAAACTTCATCACTTGACTGTCCTTCCACTTCTCTCTGGAGACCTATCTCAGACTTTTCCGTTTTCAGATTGTATGCTGGTGGAGGCATTTTCTTTGCAGAATCAGATAGTTCTGTTTTACTCGTTTGCTTCACATCACCATCAATGATACTCAAGGAGCTCAGGGAGTCATTTCTAGAAAATGTTATGGGAGTTCCTTCCACATCATACACCTTTACAGAGTCCAATGAATCTGTTGTATGATAAAACACAGAGTCATCTCCACCTTCTGTATTATGACTGAGTGTTTTATAGGAAACTTTTATCTCACTTGTGTTTACAGACTGTATCCTTGATGGCATCTCAGAAGTACTACTGATATCACTTGATGTCTTTTCTTTTTTACTTTGTGAAGTATATTTTGTTTCTTTTGGTGCTGTCACTACACTGGAGGTGCGCTGAGGTTGGAATTTTGACTCGGCTCCTTCAGCTGCTCTATCCATGTCCAGTTTTCTGGAGACCCTGGCTTTTGGTGAAGTACTCCCTTTTGGCATTGCAGACTGGATGAGGTCAGACAAAAGATCTTCACTTCCATCACTATAGGAGGAGTCAGACTTGGAATCATTCAAATCAGCTGACTTATCTTCCTCCTCCTCCTCTTTCTCTGGTTCCTTAGCTTTAAATACTTCTTGAGCATCTGATTTCCCTGTGTCTGGCTCCTCCTCTTTGATTGGTTCTGACATGCCTGTTATGATACTTAAATCACTGAGAGAAGTTGAATGGGAGAAGTTGATTGGGGTGTCCTCTGTTGCATAAGTTTTTATTGTATCCTCACAATATGTAGCAGGGTCTTCTACATGTACCATAGGTTTGACAAGGCACACTGGTTGGGCTGACTCTGTGCTTGGTAGGCTGTTTATCTGCACTTTGGGGGTGGGAGAAGTAGGCTTTGACATATTATACGGTGTGTCCTCCACTGCATATGATTTTGGAGCATCGTCATCAGGAACGTCTTGTATCTGTGACAACAATGAAGGGTTAAACTTTGGTACATTGTTAGGTCGGATTGGTTTTTGCGGAACAGGAGGTGGTGCCTTCTTTACTGTGTTTTTTGGAGAGGTGGGTTCAGATAGGTTGTATGGAGTGTCTTCCATTGCATATGACCTTGGAGCCTCTTCATCATCAAATAGATAGTCCATTTGTGAAAGTAAGGCAGGATTAAATCTAACAGTGTTCTGTAGAATGTGTGGTTTATTTTGACTATGGTGAACAGACATGGCTGCTGACCCTTGAAATGGTGTGTCTTCATCTGCATAAAGCTTAACATCATCATCATGCGACTCCAATACATCCAAGTTACCATTCAGAATTTCTTTGACTTTTTTATAATGTTTTGCTGTTTGAACGGGTTTAGATGATGGTTGGCCTTCACTTGCATAGGAAGTGACACTGTCTAGATTTTCTTCCATTGTGATCAATTGGCAGGAACCATTTTTGAGTGGCTCAGGTTTGACAGGTGTTTTGATAGATGTCTTCATTTTCTCACTGAATGGAACATCCTCTTCAGCAAAAGCTTTAACACTGTCTCCACTATATTCATTGACACCCTTTTCATTTAACAATGACTTGGGGACTTTATTAGCAACCCCTCTTTGTATCTGTATCTGAATGTTAGAAGGGAAATCTTCAGAGGCATAGGTACGGACACAGTCTGACTCACTTTCCATAGCCTCATTGACAGAGGAGTGGAGACCAGAGCCTATCTTTGCTTTAGGTGCTAGCTTGATTCCCTCCACTGACTGAGACAGCTTGTTCTGATTGTCAGCATTGTTGACTGTCTTCTTCTTCAGGGTGTTGTCTGATGAACTGCGCCTTGGTTTGCGTGGCATAGCTGTACGAATACACTCCTTCAGTATATCCTCTTCATACACAGACACCTCTGACTGCGAGTTTTCTTTGTCATCTGCTTCTTCCTCAGACTTAAGGTTGCCATTTACTGCAGTTTTCTCCAATTTAGTTTTATCTGTTGCTTTTGCTTTGTTTGCATCATCTATAGTTAGTGTGCTTAAGACACTGTTAGTTTCTGACATGTGTGGGGGAGTCCCTTCATCTGCATAAACAACTGGGGCCTCATCACGACTTATGGTTGAAGCTATTTCTATGTTTGCCAGTTTGTTTTCATTAGATACTTTAGTTGGCACAGGACGATAAAGCACAGTTTTTGGTGTTCCCTCAATAAAGCTCTCAAATTTCTGAGAATTGTTTGTGTTTTGTTGCAGCTCAGGGTCTGGGCTCTTTGATGGACTGGGTGGCATTGTTTCACTGGGTGAATCTGGTAGTTCACTAGGAGAAACAACTTCACTTGCTCTGCGACTATAGTCACTAATCACAGAACTGTGCACAGAGTATGCATCGAAACTGCTCAAAGATCCAAGGGAACTGCAGCGTGAGAACATGAGTGGTGTTTCTTGAATCTGGTGGTCATCATTAAATGTAACCGTCTTATGCTCTTTTTCAGCACTATCTGGTCCCTGTGAATCAGATTCACTCATAAGTTTTTGGCGTCCTGAGTTTTGTGTGTATTTTGGAGGGGCCATAATAGAACTCACCATTTTTACATCTCTAGGAGGAGTTTTGGCACTGTCATTTTCATCTATACTGTGTAATCCTCTTGAATTTCTTAAATTTGATCTGTTAGATTCCACTTGTCTGTCCTGTGCTTCACTGCTGTGAAGGCTACTTAGAGAACTTACTCTGGAAAAACAGATAGGGGTGCCTTCTTCACAGTATGTCTTGACTTGGTCTGGTGAATTGTCATTTTCATTTGGGGCATGAAATGACCGACTGATGCTTTCATCTTGACTGGGTGACTTACTGCAGGCCACCTGTTGGAGGTTTTTAGTAGCGACATGGTAGCTAGCTATGACAGTGGTGCCTGTATTTTGATTGGTGCTTTGGCTCCCACTTCCACTTCTCTTTTCTATGGACCCTGACTCCTCCTCATACTGATAGTCCTCCTCCTCTTCTTCGTCTGTGTGTTCCTTTTGCGTGTCCTCTTTCTCCCCTTTACTGAGGTCTGTCAGTGAATTCGCTGTAGAAAGATAATTACGAGGTGTTCCCTCTGTGCAGAATGTTTTTATTTGGTCATCATTGTAACCAGGAAGGAATTCCAACCTGTCATTAGTTCTCCTTGCTATGTCCAGCTTACAATCAGCACAATTGTCCTCATATCGCAAGTCATAGGGCTGATCTCCATCACTATCCTCATGGCTCTCAGCAAACCTACGACTATAGTCTGTTGGCTGTTCACAGTCCAGGTCTGTTTCTGCATACACAGAGCTGTGTTGAACAATCGGAGTGAGGTTAAATAAATTTTGAGCTGACTTCTGTGGTCCATTATAAGAGTGATGCATGTTGACTGGATTCATGTGTTGTTCATATGACTGCCCTACATAATTGCCATACTTAAGAGGTATTGGTGATTTGATTGCTTTATTCAAACTATAGTCAATGGGTTGGTCACTATCCATGCTGCTGGAGTAAGAGAGTTTCCCAAATTGACCAACAAATGAAGCTCCATGCCCTTGGCTTAAACTGGGGCCAGTGTAACTTCTAACTAATAGAGACTGAGAGAATGAATAAGAAGGATCCATTTTTCTAGGTGTGTTAGACTGTGAATGAGAACTGCCCTTGGAACTAGAGTCTGAATCAATTCCAGCATGCTTTGCTACTTCCTTCATGACTTGAATGATCCTGCTACTTGGTTGTGGCGTCTCCTCACAGCTGCCATCAGAATGGACCCTTGGGATCATGCTACCCTGCTGTCTGTCCAGACTTCCACCTTGCCTGCCAGTCATACTCTTAGCTTTCTTCATTGCCATGTGGAATCGTGTCCTGTCATGAGAAATATCAGAGTGAGTGCTTCCTACACTGTCCTGGCTCCCAGAGCGAGCCACACGATGAGGAGACATGAGGTGACTGTCAGACATAGGTGTGTTCTCCCCACTCAGACTCTTTGGGAAGCTGTGACCTCTGTTCTGTGTTCTAGGAGTCTCTCCATCATTACAAACAACACCAGAGTTAGCGGGGAAATGGAAACGACTTTGATCCTTGTCTGATCGACCATTTTCTGTTGGACTGTCTCGAGGACTTTCAACATTTTCACATGTTTCTGACAAACTCTGATCTATTTCCTCTGCAAGAGCTTTCTGTTTACGCACATGTAAGGACGGTCGGTTCGAAAAAGCTTTTTTGTCCATTCCCATAGTTTTGATGTTACACGCCGTCAGAAGGTTCTTTAAAGCTGCAGAACTTCCCATAGAAATCATCTGATGCTTTGAGTTTACGAGATTTCTTAACATTCCCACTGCTCCCATATCCAGTAGGGCTTTTTGATCCTCAGCACACCTTGCTGATAAGTTCCACAAAGTGCCACAAGCATTACTAACAATGTTCAGACTTGGTGAGCGTAGTTGTTTTAGAAGAATTTGTAAACAGCCATGTTTGCGTAGAATTTGGCGGTAGTCTTCACGCACTGTGATATGACTAGAGATATTGCGTAAAACACCGCCTCCATTTTCAATTACTGCTGTAGTCTTTGAAGGACTTTTATAGGTGAGAGTACCAACAAGGAATTCTAGAGCACCTTCTACAGCACATATCTCTGCTTTGTTTTCACTTCCATGAGCTGACAAGTTCCATAAAGCACTAAGAATACTTTTAAGGGTGGCCTCTTTCTTTACTCTCATGGCAGCTCCCATAAGTTTGGTGGCAGCTCCCACAGCTCGCAGTGTTTTCTTACTCTGAAGGTCAGCTTTCCAGGACAAGTTACGAAGAACACTGGCAGCCACCTGTCAAATAAGAAAATTATGGTCATCACTTTTTGCCTTGAGTGAATAAAATATTTGCAATCATTCTTTCAGAAAATTATTTTTATTTACTTTCTATGGAAAAAATATGGACATCATTTATGGAATTAAGAATCATTTAGTACATCTGCAATCAACTTTTCTTCAAAATCTTTTCTATTTGAATTCTTCCTTGAATTCTTTGACATTGACCAATAATGAAAATTTCAAGTTTTCAGTTTACCTGGTTGAGATCCTCACATTCACAGTGTAATTGAGCCACCAAAGCCTCCATGAAACTCCTCATAGAACACAGCAGGGCCTTGTTTGTACCATCCCCAAACGTGAGGTTAGTGAGGGCCATACAGCCATACCGCCTCATTGTGATGTTATACAGCTCCACCTCCGTGTGGTGAACTCCATGATCCACCTCTAACAACTCAGCTATTGCTTGCACTCCACCTGATGATATGTGTATAAACATGTCATAAACATAAAACAATGTGGTATCTTGTAATGGTTTTTATCAATAAACATTTATCTAGATGGATCAATATTTAGACCACCAACTATAGAATAAAATCAGGAAGCCCACTGACACAAGATTTATTTTACTATATGTATCAATTTTATTTGTCTAACAAGAAGATTGACTGGTTAACAATGAACCCATCTAAAAAAAAATATTCAAAGATTGATTAAAAATGTTACTGAAAAAAAAAACAAAAAAAACGAGGCCCATGGGCCTTGAATCGCTCTTCTGATAAACTGTAAAACCTATCACTTCTATTTGAAGCCTCAAAGTATCCTGTATATTTAGATAAACCCTTGAAATTCAATTCACACTCTGAGAACCCAAGATGATTCTAAGCCAATTAGTACCTGAGAGTTGGTCATGGTGACCTACTTATCACTTGTCATTCTCTGAGGACCCATCAACTAAGTTTGATGATTCTAAGCCAATTAATACCTAAAATATTTTTTAAAATTATAGCCATAAAATTTTATAAGTAGGTCAAAGTGACCTACTTTTCAATTGTTTTACTCCAAGGATCCAAGATGCATCAACTGACAAAGTTTGATGATTCTAAGCCAATTAGTATCTGTAATATTTAATTAAAGCCATAAATTTTCAAAAGTAGGTCACCGTGACCTACTTTTCAGTTGCTGTACTCCGAGGACCAAAGATACATCAACTGACAAAGTTTGATGATTCTAGCCAATAAGTACCCAAAATATTTAATTACTGCCATAAATTTTCAAAAGAAGGTCACAGTGACCTACTTTTCAGTCAACCTACTCCGAGGACCAAAGATGCATCAACTGACAAATTTTGACGATTCTAAGCCAAATAATTCCTGAAAATATTAAATACAGCCATAAAATTTCAAAAGTAGGTCACCATGACCTACTTTTTAGTTGTTGTACTCCGAAGACCCAAGAGGCATCAACTGACAAAGTTTAATGATTCTAAGCCAATTAGTACCCAAAATATTTGATTAAAGCCATAAATTTTCAAAAGTAGGTCACCATGACCTACTTTTCAGTTGTTGTACTCCGAGGACCCATGACGCATAAACTGACAAAGTTTTATGATTCTAAGCCAATTAGTACCCGAAATATTTTATTAAAGCCATAAATTTTCCAAAAGTAGGTCATGGTGACCTACTTTTTAGTCAACCTACTCTGAAGACCCAAGATGCATTAACTGACAAAGTTTGATGATTCTAAGCCAATTAGTACCTGAAATATTTAATTAAAGCCATAAATTTTCAAAAGTAGGTCATGGTGACCTACTTTTTAGTCGACCTACTCTGAAGACCCAAGATGCATCAACTGACAAAGTTTAATGATTCTAAGCCAATTAGTACCTGAAATATTTAATTAACACCATAAATTTTCAAAAGAGGTCACTGTGACCTACTTTTTAGTCGACCTACTCTGAAGACCCAAGACGCATCAACTGACAAAGTTTGATGATTCTAAGCCAATTAGTACCTGAAATATTTAATTATAGTCATATAAATTGAAAAGTAGGTCACGGTGACCTACTTTTCAGTTGACCTTTTTTGAGGACCCAAGATGCATCAACTTACAAAGTTTTATGATCATAGGACTTAAAATGTCCAAATTATGCCTCTAAAACACTTTGAAATCGAATGCCTGCAAAGTTCAAAAAGTAGGTCACTGTGACCTACTTTTTAATAAATATGTTTTATGGCCCCAAGATGCATCATCTTACAAGATTTAATGATTCTAAGCCTCCCCGTATTCGAATTAATGACCTTAATTGTTTTAAAAAAGATTAGCCATAAAATTCAAAAAGTAGGTCAAGGTGACCTACTTTTTTGTTGACGTACTTTGAGGACCCAAGATGCATCAACTGACAAAGTTTGATGATCATAGGCCTTAAATTGTTCAAAATATGCCTCTAAATCATTTTGAAAAAGAATGGCTGCAAAATTTATAAAGTAGGTCACCGTGACCTACTTTTGAGTCAACATGATATGAGGTCCTTAGATGCACCAACTGACAAGATTTGATGATCCTAGTCCTTATAGTAAGCAAAATATCAACATTTTAATAAAATGTAATTTTTGGTCAACTTTGAAGTGACCTTGAGACCACGCCCTTTGCCCCAGGGTAAATCCCCGTGCAAATTTTAATCTACAACATATCCTCATCCTTTTGTGTAAGTTTGGTGATAATCTGCCCAGTGGTTCTAGAGAAGAAGATTTTTTAGCAACCAGTACTTTTGTTTCTATTTTCCTAATTATCTCCCCTTGTTAAAGGGCCACAACCCCAGTTTTAGTATAAAAGGGAGCCCTTGGGCCAAGGATACACTGTGACAAATTTGACAATAATTGGCCAAGGGGTTCTTGAGTTATGGCCCATATTCTAAAAAGTTTACGCACACCGCACAAATGGCCATAGCATTAGCTCTTTGAGCCTTTGGCTCAGAAGAGCTAAAAAATGATTAACATCATATTGAAGTTTAGTATCAACTTAAAACTTTGCAGCTACACATCTCTTGTTCTAGTGAATTTAATACATTTCTGTTTAAAACTCTTGTCCGCCAGTTGTGGCCTAGTTCTTGACTGGGAGGCCACAAATGGACTAAATATGCATCTACACAACATTGGGATGCTTATATATTTGACTTCTTTTTAAAGATTTTCCCCCCTAACCCTCCCCACCAATAGGATCACAATTTATGAGCTTCCTTTTCACATACCCATTGTTTTTAGCTGAAGCACCTCTAATAAAATTGATGACCATTTAATAGTTTTTTTTTTCAAATCTGCTGACCCTTTTTGTTGTTTCACAGTATTTAAGATGACCTTAGTAAGATTTGGCTTGTATTAGAGAGATTCTCAGATTTGCTTTTGGTCATTAACATTGACATATTTCAGCAGAATTCATAGATTTGACAAAATCCAGTAAATAAGAGGAAAGCTGTAACAATTATTAGTCAAGGTACCATTGATAGTCTGTTGACATATAATAAGTATGATATTTTTTACAATAGGTCTGTTTATTTTTACCTAGACTACAGATGGCATGTCGGTGTTCTTCATCAAATGACAGCTTCATCAGGGCTGCTACAGCGGGGCCTGGCTGATGGTCCATGTCCTCTGTAACAAACAGAAGAAGGAACTTATAAAAATTTCCTTCTTTCATTAATTATTATGTGTTTGAGAAAAAAGCCTAAGGGCCTTAAAGGTGCATAGACACAGATTTGAAGTTTATAATTTCTCAAATTTTCTGTATAATATCACAACTTATATGTTGCTATAGCATTTCACACGAAAATAAAATCATATACTTATTTAATCTGGAAATTATTGAAACTTTGAATTTCGGAAGGCGTTTGATTAACACATCCTTGCACTTTCACATTATTTAAGTTTATCCTTAATACTTAAGAAAAGTAACAATTTTGTTGTGTATTAATGAATAATATTACATCTATAATCCAGAAAATTCAGAGTAAAAATGTGCAAAAGCAAAACCCACTCACTTAAATATTGTCAGCCCGTGCTCAGTGTTGTGTAGTTGTGTACAGAGTTTAACAAATTGAATACACCCATGAAACGTAAACTGTTTTTGTAAACAGGGCATGAGCTCTGTTGTTGTTTATGTTTTCGATTCACCTGGTGTGTTCAATTGTTAAACTCTGCACACACCACTGAGCACGGACTGACAATACTGGTGAGAGGATTTTGCTTTCTACATTTCTACTATGAAATTTCTGCATTATAGTTTTAATATTTTTCATTAATAAACAACAAAATTGCTACTTTTCTAGAGTAATAAGGATAAAGTTAAAATTTGTGAAAGTGCAAAGGATGTGTATATCAAACGTGTCCAGAAATTTGAAGTTTCAATATCTTCCAGATAAAATAATATTTTTATCAAATATTCGTATGATATGCTATAGCAACATATAAGTCATGAAATTATACAGAAAATTTGAGTAAATATTAACTTCAAATCTGTGTCTAAGCACCTTTAAGGGAGCTCTAAACACTGTTTACTAAAGAGTTCCAATACCATGGTAGCTTTTTGCAGTTAGTGATCTGCCCTTTGAAGTAAAATGGAATAAACAATATAAATATAAACAGTAATAAGACATAAACTAATCTTAAAATTATAACAGACCAAGAAAAAGTAATTGAAAACATCATTTGCATGTATTTTCCCAATGTAAGTAAATAATAGTGATTTCTGTTCACTAGTACTTACTGTCTTTGAACATTTTTCCTGGAGAAATACGCAGTGCTCCAAATCACATTTACTACTAGGTCGCTAAATGGCGACCTAAAATTTTTTTGGTCGAAATTTCAGAATTTCTGGTCGCCATTAACAAATATTTCACTCACCATGGTGAAAGAATCTTATGAATAAGACATTTAATATATTTCAAAAGAAAAGAACAAACACTCATATACAGTGGTGCCTCGTTTATCCGGACGCCTCCGTCCCCAATGAAATCGTCCGGATAAATGAATCGTCCGGATAAGTGAACCACTTCTTAAAAGACCCTTTCAAAGCATGTGCATATGCACATATTGGTATCAAATGTGAAGGTAAAGAAATAAAATAATATTTTGGTTTATTGTTACTATTTTATGGTTTTAAAAGAAGTAATTAATTAAATAAAAATATATTAAAATGTAAATTACACAATAAAAAATGGATAGACAAATTTATGCTGAGACCTCCATTTTTAACACAGGAAATTTTATTCGCCTTCTCTTTGGCATGTGACTTCATCGGATAAGGAAATTCTGATTTACTGTTTTATTTTGGCATATTTTATAATTATTGAAGCTCATATGATATGACAGAACTGTTTTGCATCATCATTGAAAATGATCAAACATAAACTAACCCCGTATATTCATTACACAGAGCTAGTATAGTAACTGAACACTGCAAACTAACTCAATCGCAATCAGTGAAAGTATTGTAAACATTCAACGTAAAACAAGCAAGTTTAATGATTATCAAATACATGTACATGAATATTTTTTTTCTGTAGAAAAGTTTGAATTCCGATCATAAAAAAATACCTTGAAAAACGTAATCAACTTCCATATCGCCAATTTTATATTTCTTTTCTAAGGTAATGTACGTTTATAGACGTTAGTACATTACCGGTAAATAGAACGATATTTCTTCGATTATGTACCTTTTTAAACTGTCTTGTGGGAAAAAAGCGCTTCAAATACATTTATGTTTTTAGGAATAGAAAATCAACATGATCAAGACCATTACGTATCGCTCGTAATTTATTGTTCATTTTATTTACAACTCTCCAAATTTCTCATGAATTTACCGATGTATATACAGTTAGCAATATGAATTTGAACGGATTTTTATTTAATTATTGCACAGTGTAAACTAAATTCTTCGAGTTTCACAATAGACGTGTGATTTAATTGGGATAATGACACGCTAATTATAGACGATATTGTTTGTAGGTCACAGGTAACTGCCTTCAAACTGATTGCATGGTCAATGTTTTTACAACAATTAACACTGTGAAAAAGTCGTTTCCTGAAAAATTACCGTCCGGATAAACAAGTCATTTTTCAATGAACTATTACGTTTTGTAGTAGAAATCGACCGTCCGGATGTGGAACGCGAATTTCCGGATTAATGAGAGAAAATAACGTGGAAAAATTTGGTTCCCAAAAAATATCGTCCGGAAGGTGAAGCGTCCGGATAAATGGCGTCCGGATAAACGCGGCGCCACTGTAAGTACATGTATAATGTCTTTTTGAAATCAAAGATTTACTTACAACTGTGACTGAACAATTTGCTAGGCTGAAGGAACTACATATGAAATATTGTTATTACATAGAACCACTCGTATGGTTGTATACAGAAGAACACAAGTGATTTTATCCTAGCATTAAAGATAAACCCAATGAAATTGCTACAAGTTTGACTGATGTGTGCATCAGGTGGAAACTTTGAGATAGGACTTTGTTAGCTGTTTGTCATGTTTACAATATTAGTGCATACCTAACCTATGAAACAGTAGCTGTTCATATCGCCAAAACATGATGCTATACAAGCAATATTGACCACGTGTTCTATTAACAAGATTTGGTTTTAAAAAGTCTACAACATTTGGCAGCTGTACTACACAGTCACAACATTACGTAATCTCAGTCTTTGGGACACTTAACAAAGTTTAAGAAATGTTTTCAAACATTTTCTTGATAGAGAATCTTGGAAAAAATTAATCTCGATCCTGATCATAAAAATGGACAATTGCCAACCCAAATTTTCTCAGTTGCGAAAATGCGAGTTAGTTTTAATTTCTAGTCGCAAAATTAATTTTTGGTCGCAAATGTGACCATTTTAGTCGCAACTTGGAGCACTGATATGGCAGGTACCCTATGCTGAAAATGAAGTAGATAAACTCAATATGTACACCTTTATATGATAAAATTTTCTAAAAGTACAAAAACCATTTTTCATTAGTGTTTATAGAGCTTCTTAAACGAGCTTCATACTTCTTTATCAGCAGTGCTCCAAGTTGCAACTAAATGGTTGCATCTGTGACCAAGAAATTATTTTTGCAACTAGGAAGTAATACTTACTAACATGTGAGTAAGAAAAGAATTACAGTATATATATCAAAGAATGTAGTTTTTAGTGTGCCTTGTTTCTCACCTGACATCTCTTGTCCATCATTCTGTATCTCTCTCAGCTGATCACAGTGAGCCCTGATTTGTTCCAGAAACCTCAGCACTCGTGCCTCTCTCCGGCCTCGCTTGTCATCAGGATGAGAGTGGACGATATTGTGTAGGGCTGCTGCCGCTCGCTCCCTGGCTGCCTTACTGCCTCTTGTGTTACCCAGCAGTCCAGAGTCCTTATCACTTCCATGTAACAACTGTATTAGCAGAGGCAGACAACCTGTACAAATAAAGAAACAAATACAAATGCCATCCTATAACAGTTACAATTTTAGCAGTTTTTTTTTTATACCCACCCAATCAAATAAAAAGTAGATGTACTTTGAGTGATGTCAATAAATTATCCCCCCTCCCCCTGTTTTTTTCTTAAAGTGCTCATGCAAAATTTTGTAAATATGACTTTGAATTTGGCAAAATCACCTTGGTTAAAAAAAATTACACTACCTCTGATCATAAATAATCTTTGTGTACAATATGGACATCCAGTGTTTCTCCATTAGAAAATTATGGACTTGATATGAATTTTATACTTTTTCTGGCAGTGATCTTAAACTTGCCACAATGACATGAGCCAAGGTTATGACATACCTTCAGCTCATAAATAATCTTTGTTTAACGTTTCAACTTCCAATACTCATCCATTAAAGAGCAATGAATAGAACAAATGTTATACTTTTTATGCCAGTGACCTTGAATTTGCCAGAATGACCTTAGGTCAGGATCAAGAAACACCTTTAGGACATTTGCAATATTAGTATAAATTATACACTTTCAATGTTTTTTTCATTAGAAAGTAAGACAATGGACACAAATTAAACACTTTTTCAGCCACTGATCTTGAACTTGCCAAAATGACCTGGGATCTGATCATGACACATCATTAAGATAAAAGCAATTTTTATGTCATGTATCAACTTCCAATTAGCCTCCATTTGAGAGTTATAGACTACATACAAATAATACAATTTGAACTTGCAGGAATGACCTTGGGTCAAGTTCAATACATACCATCAGGTCATATGCAATATTTGTGATAAGTATGAGCCTCAAATGTTCACTATTGCAAGATAGTTCAGTACAGGAATCATTATTTTTCTAATAAGGACCTTGAACTTGATCAATGACCTTGGTCAAGCTGTCCTGTCAACTATGCATAATGACCTGACTGTCTAATGACAACACAGCTATCCTGTCAAATATGCATACTGACCTAATTGTCTCATGAATATGCTGTAAATTACACATACAGACTTGACTGTCTCATAGCTTTCCTGTAAATTACATACTGTTTGACTGTCTCATGACTATCTTTTAAATTATACATACCTATCTGTCTCTTGACTATCCTGTAAATAATTACAAATACTGACTTGACTGTTTCGTGACTATCCTGTATATTACATACTGACCTGTCACATGATTATCCAATAAATTACACATACTTATCTGTCTCTTGACTATCCTTTAAAGAATGCATACTGACTTGACTGTCTCATGATTATCCTGTAAATTTATATACTGACTTGTCTCATGACTATCCTGTAAAGATTGAAAACACTTGACCCTCAGATGACTATCCTGTAAATTACACATACTGATCTGACTGTCTCATGATTATCTGGTAAATTACACATACGAATTGATATCTCATGACTATCCTGTAAATTACAAATACTGGCATGACTGTCTCATGACTACCCTGTAAATTAAACATACCGACCTGACTGTCTCATGATTATCCTGTAAATTACACATACTGACTTGACTGTCTCACGATTATCCTGTAAACACATACTGACCTGTCTGTCTCATGATTATCCTGTAAATTAAATGTACTGACCTGTCTCATGATTATCTTGTAAATTACAAATACTGACCTGACTGTCTCATGGCTATACAGCTGTCCTGTGAACTAGACATAGCCAGCAGTGTTCTTGACATATCATCTTTGTCATGTGTTCCCAGCATAGACAACAATGAATACACCATTTCCACCTTGAGAACACAAAAAAGGTGTAAACTTTATTATAAAATTATTTTGTGCTTTTCACAAAACAGATTAATTTTCCTATCTATAGATATCAATCCTTTTACAGAAAAACCATAGGCTAGTGTAACAGGTACTGTGGCTGGTGTAACTGATTATCATGGCTTGTATATACAAACCTTGGTGCCAAGCTGCTGAGGTGTCTGTCCTGTTGGAATTCCATCAGTGGGGTGTCCTTGTGACATTGTAAAGGCACCTGACATAAGTGGCTGGCCATGTTGCCGTGGTGATTGCGGTGCCTGTGAGGGTTGTGAAGTGCTAGTGTTGGCAGAGTTAAAGCTCATGATACTGGCAATCTCCTGGTGACCAGACCCATGACTTGAGCCTTCTCGGGATCCATCTACAAAATAATACCTTACTTATATACATACACCTGTCAATTCTTCATATTTTCCATTTGATGATAATTTTTTAATGTGATTATTTTAGATAGCAAGAAGAATTCTACTTGATTATCAAACCTGTCTTATAGTATATCCCACATGACCTCATTTATTTTGATAGCAAATAAATTTTTGTGTTGAAAGAAAATACCATTAAACATTTAAGTTTTATCATTTCCAAACCATTTTCCTCAGAATGAATACATACAACTTGAGTCAAACAAGTATAACATGATGTTTCAAGTCTAAGGAAATACAGTGTTTATTTCAGCCATTGCTGACAAGTGCATGAGGGAGTTGTCATTATTTCCTGGGTGACCTCTAAATTTATTCTGAACATGAGGTTTTGATAACAAGCACCAAAATATCACTAATTATCAATAATGGTCATTAAGGTGGATCCCTTCCCAAAAGTGGTGGCCTTTTTCATGTTAAGTTCCTGTATACTCTGAATTTGCTGCTTTATCAATACTAGCTTACTTGAGATATCTTTTCAAAGCAGAAAGTTTTGGGGAGGGGAGAGAGAAATATATCGACTAAACCTAGTTTAAAAGCGACAGTAATTGTGTATTTTGAGAAAAGACACAAAAAGAATTGACACTGGTACCATCAGTGCTCCAAATTGCGACTACAATGGTCGACCAAAAAATTCATTCTGTGACAAAAAATTTGGGCCAGCGACTGTCCATTTTTATGATCAGGATCAAGATTTATTTTTTCCGAGATTCTCTATCAAGAAAATGTTTAAAGACATTCCTAAATCTTTGTAAAGTGTTGCAAAGACAGAGATTACGTAATATTATAACAGCATGCTGTATAGAACGACTGCCAAATGCTGTTGACTTTTTAGAACCAGACATTGTTAATGGAGCATTTGGTCAATATTGCTTGCATATTATCATGTTTTGGCAATGTTAACAGCAACTTTTTAATAGGTTAGGTAAGTAGTAATAAAGTAAACATGACAAACAGCTGGCGAAGTCCTATCTCAATAGTTTCCACCTTATGCACTCTTCAGTCAAACCTGTTGCAATTTCATTGGATTTGATTTAATTCTAGGATAAAATCACTTTTGTTCTTGTGTGTACATTCATACAGGTGGTTCTATATAAAAATAATATTTTATAAGTGGTTCCTTCAGCCTACCAAATTGTTTAGTCACAGTAGTAAGTAATCTTTGATTTAAGAAAGACATTATACATGTACATATATGAGTATTTGTTCCATGCTTTAATAATATACTAAATGTGTAATTCACAAAATGTTTTCACCATGGCAATTGAAATATCTGTGGATGGCAACTATAACATCTAAAATGTCTATCAAATTTTTTTTTTTAGGTCTCCATTTAGTGACCTGATAGTAAGTGTGACTTTGAGCACTACAATGGAACAGACTTTACTGCTTTAGGTAGTGATTCTTTGTAATGAAGAACTTCCTTCTATCCTGGTATTTACACCTAACAGAGTCCTTGAAAATATCAGTTTTGTTGGATTTGCCAATAAAAAAAGACTCTGATTGTCCAACAAACAGTACTGTCACCATCTAAATGTCTGATATTAAGATGTAACGTCTTTTTGCCAGGATTTGTATTGGACTGTGTGAGGTTTGTCCACCGAGGTCATGGACAAATGCTTTAATTTTCTTTTTTAATGACTACACAGCCAAATGTGTACAATTTTATTTAAATTAAAAGACCATATAATTATGCTTAAAAATTAGGGACGGCAATCAAATACAGAATTGCTAATCGGTTAACCGCAAGCCAATCTGACTGATTAAGCTGTTAATCATATCAAAATACACATTTTCTTGACTTTTTTTTTTCGTACCTCAACTGAGCATAATTAGATGTTAGAAACATTGTTTATCTTGATCAGGAAAGTACATGTATATATATTTTATTTCAATTTCAATAGACAATAAAAAACAATTAATCAGAGAACCATGAAACATGCCTGAGAAATCAGACATTGATAATTTTACAGAGCAGATGTCACACAAGTTGCCATAATCAAAACTAAGTACATTTTCACTTAATTTACAATGTCTATTAATAATATAATTTGATAGATAACTGCAAAAGACATACATAATACCTTATAAGCAGAATTTTTACTGAGGATTCAATTTTGGCATTATTAGCGAGGGTTTTTAGATTGCTAAAATTGAATATCTCTAACACTTTATGCTGTATCGTTTGTTATAGTTATCTTTCTTGACATTATAAAATAGCTAAAATTACTTCTCGCTAATTATATATGCCAATTTTGGGACAATTTCCTAAATTTGCGTCTTGCTAAAAATTGTGCATTTTTTGTTTTTATCATTTCCATTAGATGTTAAAGAAGTCAGAAAATGACAAAAGCCACTTTATTTACAATACATTTATTTTTTATGAAGCTTTTGACTTGTTTAATAAAAAAAAAATAATCATCAAGTTAAAAAAAACTTTGTTACAAAGTTTATAACTTTTCAACCCTGGGCCAACTTGCATTATCTGCTACCTTTAAAGATGGTGATTTTTAGTTAAAAATTAAGTTCAATCTGATTCAATCAAAATCATATTATTCTGCTTTTCATAAGAAATATACTGGTATACAATGTATATTTCTAGGACCATTCAAACTGGCAAAAACACCACTTTCCAGGAAATTTATGGACAACCCTCATATTGTCTCTAACTTACAAAATTTTAAAATTATACCTTTTCACGTATCCTCTCATATAACCAAGCATCTTTCTGTAAAATTACACCAAGTTATGCCAGAATTATGACCTCTGAAGTAGTTTGAAGTTTCAAGATGGAATGTAATTAAACACATGGGTAAGAACATGCATCTTTTCTCATCACATCCAAAATTCACTTCATACATTACCTCTGAAACTTCCAAGGCCTTTCATCATATTTAATTTTAAATGTTTAACAAACTTTAAAATTTTAACACATCTAATAATCTATGAAATACAAAAAGTCCATTCAGAAGTAGGTTTAATGAAGTCTGGATCATCCCAACACCAGAACAGAAACAGCTCTTTTTGGTGAAGCTTTTTTCTCTTAATATAACATAATTCTTTAGATATCTAAATGATTTCTTGAACCTTAATCATGATAAAATGTACCTTTACGACTTTTAGTGTGAGCCATAATGACTCCAATTCTGACAGAACATTAATTCATGTTGTCAGATTCTAAAGAATGTTTTTTTTTCTTAAATAATGGTGGGATAAAAAAAAAAAAATCAAAAGATGAATCTTAACTGCATTGTTTATATTCCCATGTGTTTTTAAAAAAATCATAAAATATTAAAAAAAAATCTGTTTCCATCCATCTTGAGAGATTTTTTAATCTCTGTTCATCTCTTAATAAAAAGTCTAAATCAATGCAGCTCATTGATATTTCCTCTCTCTCCATGTTTCTATATTGCGTCTACGGCTAGCCCTGACTTTCTGCAATTATTCCTCTTTGTCAATCAATGGATTCAGACAGAATTGATATTTACACTAATCTTATCAGTGCTAAGCCTCTACTCAAGGTCAGAGAAAGTTAAACCATTCATGCAACATGTGCAACACCATAAACTTACCAATACTAGGTCAGAAATAATTTCCAAACAAACAAGAAGTACTTTGTTTCTGAATTTTAAACACAAAATGAACATCTAACAAAAGCTTCTGTAACTGGCAGTGAAGTCCTCCGTGACACCTGTAAGTTCTCCTCACGCTGACTCATTAGTGGGTCCTTCACTTCAAAAGATTCCCCCATGTATCTAAACCAACTAAACACTCACTTCTGAAGTCGACCCAAATTATTCTGGGAGATTTCCAAAGGCATGTTATTTAAGTTTTTGTGTTAATTTAGCTCTGCATCTGACATCTGATTACCAAGAAATTATAAAACATATGTCAGATAGGCAGAATATTTCTAACTCCTGGATTTTAGAGTTTCAGTGTACTAGATCAACACAGACTAAAACTAGAACTGTCCAAATGGGACTCATACCACATGGGGCTAAGTTTAAAGTAGCTTAAAGAACTCTACTGCAAATTCATGGCCTGATGTATTGGTTGAAGGTGCTAACACCTATCTCCGTGTTGAGTACAAAAAATATAACAATCCATAGTGCAGTATTAGAATGTCACTCCTAAATCTGTGACCTTGTTTAAATGACCTTTGTTCAGGTTCATAACATATCTTATGATCATCATAAACCCCGAGGTCAAGTATGATCTTCAAAAGTTATTTTCTTATAAAATAATGATATGAACAAGAAATTTACTTCTTTCGTTTTTTTTTAACTTTCAGTAAAATTAATTGAATGGTAAATACAAATTTCATTCTAGGTGTTCTTAATAAACCTGGCTATCCAGTGATCTTCACTGTGTCCAAAAGAGAGGTTTTAATGATTTAATGTTTGAATATATCAACAAATTCATGTCTATCTATCTATGACTTATTATTCCATCCACTAATATATCAGTGGGCTTATTTTATCAAAGACAATACAAATGGGAAATTCCATCAGGATCCCCGAAAAAAGAACCCAGATTAGCTGTGACAAAATTTGACACCTGTATCAATAATGATGAGTTGTCACAAGGTCATCAGAAGTGTGATTGAACCCCTTTTTTAATCAAATCAAAAATATTTTTTATGAAACAAATCTGCATAAGTAATGCTACTAGATTTTCTTTACTGTATAGGTCCATTTTTCTGCTTTAGATTACTTTATGCTATGCAACAGTCACAAATTTTCCTCAGAAATTTGTCACAGGATACTTATGTTCAATTGACATACAATGGCAATCCAAGAAATCTGCACGATTTTCTACCCACAGATTGAACTGAAATTGTGATTCTGTGAAATTACTACCTCCAGGGAAAAATTACTACCTCCTGGGAAAAAAAAAGTACATTTACAGTATATGTTGTTTAAAAAAAATCCACCAAAATGAAAACCATTAATTTTAAGAAATTTCTGGCTTAGAGAGGGGGATACCCCTCCCAGACCCTCTCTGTGCCCCTTTCCAAGAAATCTGTTAATGTGCCCAGCATCACTGAATTTATTCACCAGTACCAGGTACCTTAAAATTGAATCTACAGATATGACAGCATGGTTTTTGTTTATCTTTCTTATTTGAGTACAGAGATTTGTTGGCTGTATTTTTGTTGTTTTAGCACATATATCTTACAAATTATAGTATGTTTCCTAGTTGATTTACATTTGAATAAAAGTTCCTAACACATTTATTGTTGTTTGAGAAAGACATTATATGACGATGATATGTATTAGGTAGCACTCCAGTCCTTTAATATTCACACCTTCAATTTTTTAACCTCTTTATTATCCCCTCGCAATGTATTGGAGGGGATTATAGTAACATGCTCGTGTATGTGTGCGAGGGTGTGTGTATCCTTGAGAGAGTGCATGCATAACAGAAGTTACACAAGTAATAATTTAAATCAGGATTGATATGCTCTTTTTAGGGAATTCTCTGTGCTGCGGTGCCTTCGTTTCATTACACAGTACAAGCACTTTTAAAACTGATCATGCTAATTTTCTAGAGGATTGTCAATGAACAAAAGCATTAACCAGACTAAGTTTGCCAAAACAAGTTGAACAATATCCCACTGCAATAGGAGCTTTACTTGAGGAACGTTTCCGAGTCAGTTGCACTTTAATTATTTTTTTTAATAGACATAAATATCCTAAATCAAAAGAAAAGGGATATCCTTCTGTTTTGATCATTTACACTAATGAGCCTTGCTTTGAATTTTGTAAAGTTGTATCAAAATTATAATTTTTTTTTAAAATTGTGTACTATATCTTTAAAATAGACTATAAAGTAAGTCTCAGTTATAAAAATGTAAAAGATATGTATATCACATTAAAAAACTATGTTCCTTTGTGTATGTGTTCATGCATAAATTTTTTTTTTAAAGTGGAAGTGACTATCCAGCAATCATTTTAAAATTCAAGAATATTGAATTTCAAAATATATTTGAGGTTTATTCAATAATTTGTTGTATTTTAAGTTGCTGGTTACATATTAAGGACTTCTGATTTATTTAAATGAGTTTTGAAAAGAATTCACTTTTTATAGATAGGCTATACTGATATCTTACAATTTGATGATACTCTGATCATTTCATTCATTGGGATTGTCAATGAAGATCCTATAGGTGGATATTGTCAATGACTGTAGCTTTTTGTGGCCAGCAGCAAAGATGTGAAATCCATGAGAACATTGTATAACAGCAGGTTGTAGGTCACTGTCACATGCATAATTGTCTACATTTTATTGTCATAAAAAGATATACTCTACCTTTTGTGTTGGTGCTGAGTGGCCACGCCCCATGATACAGAGAGGCTATACTGACCCCCACATTCTCCTCCTGGTATATCAGTCCACTCCCCTCCTTCTCCCCACCAACCTGAGGTAACAGAAAACAAAACCTTAATCAAACAAGGCAGCAATAAGAGAATTGTCAAAATTAGAATGTATATTATTAGTTAAATAATAATAATAGATTCCATAGCTAGTACATATTCAAATCAAGATAACATTGTTTCTTTATACTTGACTTCTAAATACTTCTGGAGTTCATCTATGACAGTGTATACACCATATAAAGAGTACCTCTATATCCTTGTAGTTTTATACAGTAAAACATGCTTATAGTTAACACGCTTATAATGAATTGATGCTTACAGCAAAGTGATTATCAATCCCCCTGACTTTAAAATATATTTAACAATTAACGGGTAAAACGAATTATGCTTATAAAGAAGCAAAATTGTCTATCCCTGGCACTTCTTTATAAGCGTGTTTTACTGTACCTGTTGTATGCTGATGGGTTTTTGGGACAATTACATTAAAGTTAAGGGATAAAAATATAAATATATATAATGAATGGCCAACTTATTTGTAAAAACACATTAGAATATATAAATGGCTGCATTCATGAAGATGGAAGGCAGTATTAACTAAATATACATTTAACACTGTATAGTGATATTGTTTGTAAGCATTATCTCCCTTCGCGATGCAATGCATAGACTATGGCTGAAGGGATACACCACTTATAAATGTAGAAATATGACTGAAATTTATGATTGTATACCAGGTAATAAAAATACATGTAAATGCATTCTGAGTGCCTTACAGAACAACTGAAAACTTATGTGAAACACAATTTCTATAGTAAAGTACAATTCGGCTGAGCTGGTGTTTGGTGTGTCCCTATCACTGATGAATTGTTCTCAAGGGTCAGATTTTTTTTTACCATTTTAAAAAATACAAGGTTTTCTTCATGACTGAATAACCATTAACTGTGGTCAATGGGTACCTCCCATGAAGATAAATTTCTCTTGTCCTGCCACTAGTATCTCCTGACACTTTCTCCATCACACTAAAGTAACTACTTAATTCCAGGGATAGACATTAACTTTCAGATTCACTTGTCCTTCCGGCAAGTAATCTCAAATTTTGACTTGTCCAAAAGTAAAACTTGCTTGCCCAAAAATATGAAGAAAATAATCAATTACTGCAAATGTTTATAAGAAAGAGTGCAACCAGATACACTTCTGTCTATTTGTCAAGTAAAAATGTTATGTTTGTTTGTACATGAATTTTTACAATTGTCCTTTCAGTTTAAACTGTTACACACACTGCTATGCAGCAATACCCCCTCCCATCCCCACATATCCCATTTCCTTTAGAACAAGGTTCATATTTAACTAGAGGCCCATGGGCCACATCGCTCACCTGAGTAACTTTGGCCATGCTGTTCTTTACCAGATTTCCCCCCTTGTAATACCTATTGTGGCCCCGCCCTACCCCCGGGGGTCATGATTTGAACAATTTAGAATCTACACTACCCCAGGATGCTTCTTCATAAGTTTCAGCTTTTCTGGTCCAGTGGTTCTTGAGAAGAAGATTTTTAAAAATTTTTCCTATATATTTCAATGTAAAACTTGGATTCCCTATTGTAGCCCCGTCCTACCCCCAGGGGTCATAATTTGAAAAATTTAGAATCTACACTACCCCAGGATGCTTCCACATGTTTCTGATTTTTCGGTCCAGTGGTTCTTGAGAAGAAGATTTTTAAAGATTTTTCCTATATATTTCAGTGAAAAACTTGGATTCCCTATTGTGGCCCCGCCCTTCCCCTGGGGGTCATAATTTGAGCAATTTAGAATCTACACTACTTGAGGATGCTTCCACATAAGTTTCAGCTTTTCTGGCCCAGTGGTTCTCGAGAAGATTTTTAAAGATTTTTCCTGTATATTTCAATGTAAAACTTCGATTCCCTATTGTGGTCCCGCCCTACCCCTGGGGGTCATGATTTGAACAATTTAGAATCTTTACTACCCCAGAATACTTCCACATAAGTTTCAGCTTTTCTGGTCCAGTGGTTCTTGAGAAGAAGATTTTTAAAGATTTTTCCTATATATTTCAATGTAAAACTTGGATTCCCTATTGTGGTCCCGCCCTACCACCAGGGGTCATGATTTGAACAATTTAGAATCTACACTACCCCAGGATGCTTCCACATAAGTTTCAGCTTTTCTGGTCCAGTGGTTCTTAAGAAGAAGATTTTTAAAGATTTTTCCTATATATTTCAATGTAAAACTTGGATTCCCTTTTGTGGCCCTGCCCTACCCCCGGGGGTCATGATTTGAACAATTTAGAATCTTTACTACCCCAGAATGCTTCCACATAAGTTTCAGCTTTTCTGGTCCAGTGGTTCTTGAGAAGAAGATTTTTAAAGATTTTTCCTATATATTTCAATGTAAAACTTGGATTCCCTATTGTGGCCCGCCCTACCCCCGGGGGTCATGATTTGAAAAATTTAGAATCTACACTACCCCAGGATGCTTCCACATAAGTTTCAGCTTTTTTGGCCCATTGGTTCTTGAGAAGAAGATTTTTTAATGACCCCACCCTATTTTTGTCTTTTCTTGATTATCTCCCCTTGTAAGGGGACTTGGCCCTTTATTTTAACAATTTAAACTCCCCTTCACCCAAGGATACTTTGTATCAAGTTTGGTTAAAATTGGCTCAGTGGTTCTTGAGAAGAAGTTGAAAATGTGAGAAGTTTACAGACGGACGGACGGACAACGGGTGATCAGAAAAGCTCACTTGAGCTTTCAGCTCAGGTGAGCTAAAAAAAAATATTTTTGGCAGGTTTCCTTTATGGCTTTCGATTTTCATTTTACCAGTAAGCATGAAGCAAAGCTCAAAGCTAAAGAAAGACAGATAGATATCAATACATATCAAGATCAGGATACCTCTTAATACTGATACTTATATTCTATGAGTGAAATGTTACTGAGGGATTCCGAATACAAAAACAATGTCAGTTACGTACCCAGCGGAAATGAGGTATTAAATTGTTTATTCCTAAACTAATATAAACTAGCTAGATAACAATATACCTTTCAACTAGATGCTGTCATGAGACAGTAATACCCGCACTAAGGTGTTTGCCTCTAAATGCACACTCCTTCATACTGGGCTTAGCAAGGAAGAAGTCCAAATAATTCTATAATTTACACAGTACATGTATTCATCAAATCGAGCATAAAATGCTCAGGTGACCATGTGACCCATGAACCTCTTATACGCATTTCATATACTTAATTCATTACCAGTCTGAAATAACAGAATTTAATTAATGATGTAAATTAGGTTTTGATAAAAGGGGGGGGGGGATATAAATTTTTGGCTCATAATTGGAACTTTTTAAAATTTATTTTCTCAAACAGAAATAATATTATTTTAGTACAAAGCGTTTTTGATGAATTTATCAAAATGTGCAAACTTTTTTTTAGTATTTGATTAGGCAAAAACCTCCTTGAAAAGCCATATCCAATCAATATTGTCACCCCCCCCCCCCCCCAACACACACACACACACAATTTGCCTGTTTTTGGAAATAGGCCTAGATGACTAAGTTATGTTAAAACATCGTTTGTTATGATAATTTCAAATTTGTTCTTGTACTGTACATGTATGTGAACACCTTTTTGAAAATTTCTACATCACATTGGGCTTGCGTCACCCTACCAGTGCTAGTACTAGGCGCCTAGTTTTACCATTATCATTTCTAGATTGCACATGCCATGTGACATGGTGCAGTGTTACATGTATATCAGTGGAAATTAATTCATTTTGTGTTTTAATTGGATTATATTTCATGAAGTTGACAGGACCTATGACAGTCGGTAAGTACAAGTTTAAGTATAGATTGGGGTAAAATAAACCGAAATGCAAATGGTTAGGTTAAAGTTTAAAAAGGATCAAAGATCATCGGCAATCTCCTATGCAGAGTTGTCGTTCGTTTCTCTCACAGACACTGAATGTATGATCCGATGGTAGAGAGTGGATTATCGGATGCCACAATAGACGAATTTCACATTCTGAAGAGTTATCTCCCGTTGTCGACATTACATTCAGTTACAGGCACAGATCCGGGAATTTTTTTCCGGGGGGGGGGGGGGGGGGGGGGGGGGGGGGAGGGGGGTCCACACCTCAGTCCAAAAAAATTCCAGCCCAGAATTTCCTGAGGAGCAAAAAAAAAAAAAACAAACAAACAAAATAAAAACAATGATGGTGGGGTCCATGTTTTTAAAGGGGGAGGGCATCCAAAGTCAATTTTTATTTGCTTCTGTAAATCAGTATATAGTCCTATTTAAATAACTCTGCAAATTCCAGGGGGGGGGGGGGGGTGTTTCCAACAATCTCCCTAGCCGCTCCCTGTCCCTAAAATGACAAATGATCATGTGACTCCTAAATAGTAGAAGACTTTTCCATTTGACTATACATAATTATGTTTCTTGTGTTATTATGTTTTGTACATCTAATGGTTTAAGGTTATGAACCCCTGGAGGTCATCCCCACTCTCTTAATGAACTGGAAATGTTCATAATATGACTACATCAAATTAAATAAAAGTGCATCAATGATAAGATTACTTGACATTTCATTCATGAATTTGGGTCAACCCATGTACCCTCCTAGAATTAGGAATGAAAATCATTCAAAGAGATGGACCATTAAACTATTTGTATATATTTACATTTTTTTTTATGTCAAACCAAAGTATTAGACTAGTTTGCATACATGAACAAACAGGGGTCTGGGAAGGGGAAGGGGCAAGGGGAAGGAGTTATCTCTTTACGTCTTAATTGTTGAAAACTCCTAAAATGAATGTTAACCTCAAATCCGACTTGTACGTCTTCATTATTTTTAAGTGGTGGTGTCTCCGTATGAGTGAAAAATTCCCAAGAGGGACATTTAACAACAAACAAACATTAATGACTTAAAAAACACAATATACATGTACATGTTTATTAGTCAAGGGATATACTTCTGATCATATCTCTAGTTCTCCCTTGAATCAGAAATGATGATATAAATATTTTAAGA